TTTTAGTAAAGAAGATTGATCCAAGGCCCTAAACTTTGGGGTTGCCCACAATAAGCTCTTACTATTCCATGCCAGAATTCAGGAGGGCATAATAGAAAAACATTTCCTTAAAAATAAATGCAGTGTTTATCTACTGCTTTATTTCCCATGTCAGTAGTGCAGTTTTAGGCAGTTGCTGTGGTTTGTAGCAAGACCCATGTGAAAATGGTTTGTTTTTTATGCCACAATGTGTGGTGGTGTTCTGTTTTGTTTTTTTTGTTTTTTTTAACATTCTTGTGCAAGGGTTGGCATACAGGGCAGAAATTAGGGTCTTCAATTCCTCTGTCTTTTGCTGCTGCTTCTGTCTGCTCTATGGTGCTGAGACAAACTACTCTGTCCTCTCTGCTAAGGGTTCTTCTTAAGGTTTCTCTTGGACTCCTTATTTCCTCACACCAGTTGGTTTCCACTGAACAGTTTTCATGTGGAGTCTTTGTGTTGACATCCAGAGTACATTCCCCAGATATGTTCAGGGCTTCCTTCTGAGTCTGGTGGAAATGAGTTGCTGATTGATGATTTCATGGATCTCTTAATTGGTAATGAAGTCTTTCTCACTGTCCAGAATCTTTCATAGGCACTTATTTTCAATGGTGTCTAGTTTTCTGTCTAACCATTGGTAGATCTCCATCTGTCACAGCCATATGTTAGCACTGAGATTACATTAGAATTGAAAATTCTCAGTTTTGGTCTCATGCTCTATCTCTCATTGATTTCCATATTAAGGTTAGTAAATGCTGTGGGTGCCTTTCCTATTCTTGATGTCACTTCCTTCTTGTGATGTGTAGTGGTCAGTATGGTGCTGCCAAGGTAGATGAATGGGTTTACTTTCTTGATATTTTTGCCATCTAATATTACTGCTTGAAATCTAGGTTTCAAAGATGTTTGGTTTAGATTTGTTTGTGCTAGGGCTCCACGGCCCCCCTGAAAGGGTTCATGGAACCCCAGGGGGCCGTGGACTCCCAGTTGAGAACTGCCGTACTAGAGGGACTTAACAAAGATAGGCAAAGGTTGTTCTTTGCAAGGTTGTCTGTCTTTATTAGTAACTTTTCATGGGTGTCATTCAGCATGATATCATCAGCAAAGTCTAGGCCTTCTAGACATTTGTCAACTCCCCCACGCTATACCAGTGTTAGTATTGCTAATACACTTCTTCAATATTCAGTCTATGGCAGTGCCAAACAGCAGCAGCAATAAAATGCAGCCCTGTTTCACGTTAGTGTCCATACTGAACCATTCAGTTGTCTGGGTGTCCACCTTTGCAGAACACTTCACATCTCTGTACATGGCCTTGATGATGATTACAACTTTAGCTGGGATTCCATAGGAGTGAAGAATGAATAGTCCATAATGTAGGTCTATCTTTGAAAAAAAAATCAGTGAAATTGTTGAGGGGACCTTGCCATTCTATACTTTCTTCTGTGGTGGTCCTTAACTGAATATTTGGTCTACACAGAATCTCTTGGGCCTGAATCCAGCCTGTTTTCTATGCTTTGCATCCACTGCCTCTTTCTTCCTGTTTAGAATCACACTACCGAAGGTTTTTCCCTGCAAGAGAGTAGTGTAACTCCTCTCCAGTTGTTACAGTCAATAAGATCACCCCTTTTGGACATTCTGACAATGATTCCATGTTTCCATTCGTCAGGAGGCTTCTCTTTCTCCCAAACTTTATGGGACAGCTCTGTCAGTTTCATTAAGGTGATAGTATCAAATGCTTTTAGCATTTCTGCAGTGATTTGATCATCTCCTGCTGCTTTGTTATTTTTTTCAGCTTCCTGATTGTGGCCTGTACTTCTGTCATCTCTCTTGGACTGATGGTAACGTCACGTTGGTCAGGTTTGCATGTTTAAATGGAAGTCTGGTGCTGAAGTCGGCCTTGGTCTGTTGAGGACTTCTGTGAATGCTTTGCCCATTTATTTTTCTATTCTACCTTAGTTGTAAGCATTTTTCCATCTTTGCTTTTTATTGGCCCATGTCCTATTCTGAAATTGACACACAGGATTTTAATCACTTGGTAAATAGCCCTGACATCCATAATAGCAGCAGCTTCAGCTGCTAGATCTTCAATGTTTCTTCATTGATCTGCCCTTGTGTTGCTTTTCACCGCTCTATCTGCTTTCATGCACTCCTCTGCTTTTTCCAATACTCTGGTTGGTTTGCATTCAGGAGTTTTCCTTTGATATCCAAATGTGGCTACTGCAGCTTGAACCACATTGTCTGTAAGCCGGACCCAAGGAGTTTATATTAGCTTTTTCTTTAACAAGCAGCATTTCTGGTGTCTGACAGTGTCACTGCTTAAGCTCCATTGTGATTAGTGGGAGTGTTTTTATGCCTCACCAAGCCAATCTTAGAACTGTCAAGAATAATCAAATAAAGAGCCACAGAGGCATGTTTTCTCCAGTCAAAAACAGCATCTGTGATATTTTTAAGTGCATTCTTTGCTGGTTGTTTATTTGTTGATATCATTTTATCTGCATTGGTGCCTAGGGTCTAGGCCTTGGTAAACAGAAGAGCATAGAAGATACCTATTAATATAATTCCTACTCTACTCCCTAAAACTCATCTTTACCTTAATTAAAAGGGCTTTGTGAAAAATTTCTTAGTGGATTTATCCTCTGCAAATGGAACCCTGAATCCTGGGCATGGCTCTGTCTTTTATTTGTTGCTTTCTTTATCCATGTGTTCGTTTTTACTCTTTGTCTGTACCTTTTAAATTAAATAGACCTTTCATCTTTTGTTGTTTATCATTTTAAATGTGACATGTGTAATACTGTTTTTGATTGTTTAATTCTTAATTACGTGCGGTCAATTTGCTGTTGAGGGTTACTGGACATTATGAAGTACAACCAAGTCTCCCAAGAGTCTTCTCACTGCAGTAAAGCCAATCCTTGTCATTGCTTCCTGACCTTCGCAGTATTTGCTTGTCTCCATCATGTCTATGCCACAGCATTTGCCAGCATCTACTATCCTTCAGCACACGGGTGTAGGACATTGGACGAATCATTTTGGGTTTTCAGTGGTGCAGTGTGGCTTTTTTCATTCTTTTGAAATCTTTGTTTTTTCCCCTCGTAATCTTTCAAGGATTCCGTGTCCAACTGGTAATTCTGTGACTGAAGAATCGCACCAAAAAGCAGGGCCTTGAATATAAGTGACAAAGGTCCACTCCTTGTGACCAGATCTAAGGCTGCATTTTCTACCAAAAATACAGCAAAGGTATAAAGATGAATGCAGTTTCAATAATTAGTATTGCACAAAAGAAAAGCCATCTTAAGTGCTCTGCCAACTTATATGGTTACACTGCTCTTTGGCAAGTTCATCTTTAAATGTACTAAAGTACATCTCTTCTGATGTCCTTACTGCTTTTTAAAAAAAAAAAGTTTAACTTGTTCAGAATTACTGAGTAACGCATATGTTACCAGAAGAGCAAACTAACTCTGAAAAACACATTCCTGTGTAGAATATGCATTCCATAAGAATGTTTGTTTCAACTGTTCTTATATTTCTAAAATTTTAGATTACTACAGTATTCTTACATGTCAGACTTAAAAAAAAAAAACAACAGTGCTTAGATTTATACTGGATCCAGTTTAGATATTTATAGAGGTGACATTTGCTTTATATTACTCATTTAGTTTTCTTTATACACAGGAGGATCATCATTTTTACAAGACAACGGTTTTAAACCTCTCTTCACAGAATACACAGGTTCTGATAAAGTTGTTCTCTTGCAGCAATAATTTAATGAGCTGTACTCTTGAGTACCAATTCTTATCCTCAACTTTGATGAAAATGACTCAGCTGCTGAGTTGATTTCCCTTAAATATATTAATTTAATATAACATATAATTTTAAAAAATGTATAGGAGTGTTCCAGCTGGGTGCTGAAGAACTTTGAGAGAGAGAGCTGTCCTGCATATCTGCGGCAATGCCTGGAGTACTTTCCATGCCTCTCTTATGTGGCGGCTTACTGCTCTCAAGTTCAATTTGGAGCTGGAAGTTATATCAAGAGGATTGATGGTCCATGTAAAGAGTGAATGGGGGAAAACGTGGACGTCTTAAATAGTCAAATGCCGTTAATAGTTAACCAAAGTTCTCCTTTCTGAAAAATGAAAGCGGGACCATTAAAATTTCTTTAAAATCTTGAAAAAGACTTCTAAAGACGATCTCAAGTGTGATCCAAATCTCAGCAAGTCCACTAACTTCAATTGAAGTTTTGCCTGAGGGCTTGTCTACTCTTGGAAATTTACCAAAATAGCTAGCTATTCCAGAATGGGGAGTTATACCAGAATAGCTATTCTGCAATAATTTTTTTGGTAAGTTCCAAGTGTAGAAAAGCCCAGAGTAAGGATTACAAGACTGGACTTTGAGACGCCATTGGTAAGACTTACAGAAATAGGTCTAGATAAGAACTAGTAATCGATTTGGGTTAAGTTATTTTTGAAGTATTTTTCCTGTATATACAAAGTGTTTTTCCTTCTGCTATGTGTATATAGTTCAATTCTTTTTTTATAATCCCATGGGCGGGGGGGTGTACATACTTAGGTTGCAGTGTTTATGTTAGGCTTTAATAAACTTGTTTTGTAATTTTCCCTCAGCTGGTGTCTGGTGTTTGTAATTACAAAGGGTAGTAATTAAAGGAGGAGGGAAGCAGTCTAACATAACCACTATCACAACACACTACACTAGGATCAGAGAGGGCTCAGAGACAGCCCTTAGCATTGTATACAGTTGTATAGGAGTTATTTGGGAACAGCATCATTCATTATATTTTCCTTCCAACAGAAAAAAAACCACCCAAGTCCCTTGCTACAAGGCAATATTTTGGGTGTAAAGGAACAAAAAATTTGTTCTAAATACTACTTACTATAATTATTTTTGAGCACTGAAAGATGCAAAGCAGTGTGCAAAACAATGTAAGTTTACCCCCATGTTTTAAAGCAGATATAAACTACTTTGCAGTGAATGTCTTCTACAAAGGATATCTTAATTTTTTTTTAAAAATCACTTGTATTTTTTTCTATGGAGACAGTAGAGCCTGTTGGCTAAAGCACTGTGCTACTGACTTGCTCGGTAACCTTGGGCAAATCATAGCCCGTCCCCGTGCCTCAGTTTCCCCTTGTAAAGTGCTTGGAGTGCCGAAGATGAGAACTAGGTAGCATTTTAGCTATTACAGTTTATTCACAGGAATAAAGTAGTAGTTTCTTGCCTATAGTAATTTTTTTATTCAGAAATATACAAGATAACTTAGTCCTTGGACAGAATTTGTGATTTTGACTATTTTAATTTGAAGAAACCTGCTGAAATAAGTACTGTAACAGATTTAGAAGTAGTCATCTTATAGCACTCTCTGATAAAAAGTATGTGAAGGAATTAGTGGTGTTAGATATGTGGACAACTTTTGCGGATAATGTCAATGGAACAGAATGCTGTCACAGGCTAAAGCTCTTACTGTTAAATAATGAGGTGTAGTGAAGGTGTTCTTTGAAAATACACATCACTTATTTTCAAAGTGGATGCCATTTATCCTTTCACATTTTGTTTGTGATGTTATTGCTCTCATCAAACCAATTAAAATTAAAACACTGCTTTTGGCAGAGTCATGGTTACTTATCACAGCCTATTTTAAGCTTACATTACTTTTATGAATAAAATTATCCATCATTAGCATTAATCATTATATAACAATCCGTAAGTTGTTAATTTAATCATTAGAAGTAGTTTGAACATAAATGTGCAGCAAAAGGGGAGGATGATCTACCTTAAATTTTGACAAAGAATATAAACACACTATCATGCTTCTAAAATAAACCTACCACTAAGGGTATGTCTACACTAGAAACTTAAGTTGACCTATATTATGTCTACTTACAGCCACCATGGTAATTATTCTGGTGGTGCCTGTCCACACTACCCTGCTTGTGTTGGTGGCGCACCAGGAGTGCTACCACCGACCTAAGAGGGGCAGTGTGGGAAGCCCAGTCTCTCAACTCTGCTGGCAGCTCCCTGCTGGGAGCCTGGCTTGCCTCCCGCCCGCTAGGCTTCACGCCCTGGCTCCCAACCGGAAGTGGGGTCCAGATGCCCAGCTCTCCAGGGAGATGGGTGACAGCTGGGCTCTAGCTACGCTTTCTTGTCAATTTCACGGCTGTGCCATGAAACTGACAAGACAGCCAACAGCCTATGTAAGTAACAGACACTGCATCACCCTAACTACACCAACATAAGCCCTATACCTCTTGTGGAGGTGGACTTATTATGTTCGTGTAGTAGGGCACTTACATCGGCGGGAGCAAGGCTGTAGGGTAGACACTGACATAATTAGGTTGACGTAAGGTGCTTTACGTCAACCTAACTCTGGTGTAGACCAGGCCTACCTAGCAATAGGAAGAAACGTTATCTGGAAGCAGGCTATTCCATAGCTGTGTGTTATGGGCCAACATGCATCTTTCTCATTGACACTGGGAGACAGGATACTGGAGCAGATCAATCACTGGCCTAAGTCATTACAGTGATTCTGAGCTGCATAGTATCTAACAGGCACAAAAGCCCAACGTCTCTCTCTCCACTTCCAGGGCTAAGGCTAACTTTGTGCATGGCTTTTTTTTTTTAATTGTGTTGAAGGAAAACTGTATTGAAAAGGCATATTTTATGCCTTGGCATGAACTGGTTGGGCTCATACTGATCTCTGACAAGGAACTCCACAGCCAGGGTCTACACCACTGAGTGTTCTATTCAGAGTGATAGTTGGAACCTAGGTCTATCCAGCTGCATTATTCCTGTAAAGCTGTTATCTTGGGGGATTATAAAGAGGGTGCAGTTTCCAGGTCCCAAACTCTAACAGCATCTATTCTCTGTTAAAGTACAGTCTCTTATCACCTTTGCTTCAGAATCATTTATATGCTATTAAATAATGGTAAGTTTTGTATAATTATTCTTTAAGTTCCATTGCATTCTCCTTTCTATAAAATGCAAGATAATACGTGGTTATTGTCTGGAAGATGAAGTAAAACTGATTTGGTCCAACCTCAACAAGTATGTTTATGATATTTAAGTAGGGCCATCTCTGTTCTGAAGTACTTAAGTTTTACGAAAGGGAAAAAGTGGAATAAAATGTGCTAAATATTTTTAATGAGCTTTCCCAACCCTTTCAATGTGAAAAACAATGAAGAAGTGTACTGAAGTTATTTACAGTCTTGCAGAGAAAATGAGAAGCTGGTTTACAGGATAGAATATTTATAAGTTTCTCCTGCCCCAGTTCTCTTAATCTAAAATGACAGAGAACCAAGGTTATTCTTGAACTTGGTTATTTGTCCACATAGCTAGTATATGACCATCTAATGTAACCAAATCATCCCAATTCTTCCTATTTTATCTTAGCCTTCATCTTTTTTTGAAGACCCTTAGAAGGAGGAGGAGTTTTGGCTCAGCACAGAGTGACAAGCCCAAGCCATCCTCTGAGCTTGCCGTATTAGCTTAGCGATTGCTTGGTAACACATAGTTCTACAGCAACTGGCTAGTTAGTATCTCGTCAGTCAGATTTTGTTACTTCCCCTTATGAGTGTAACTATTTTTGAGAGCAACTCAAAGAGTAAATTGGAAGTGAGCACACACAATCAGTACCAATACCCTCTTGGATATTTCTGCCTCATACAGCGGAGCCCTAAGTAGTCCCAAAGCGCTAGGAGAGCAACGTTGTGGCACTAAGAGTCAAACTAACAATAATACTTGCGTAGTTGCTCTCTAAGTGCATTGCTGTAGCTACTTGACAATTTTGCTTTATTTTAGAAGCCTGATTTTCTTGCCAATGTACACTTTCTATTTAAGGGCATTACAAGCTGTCACTTAAAAAACCCCCCAACTTTGTGCTGAACGTTGGAAAGATACTAGTGCAAAGTACTGCTATCACAGTTGGTTGCTCTTCCTCTGTTAGAGGGTGGATCATATTGACTAAATGAGCGGGCAGAGAAAAAGACAGAAGCTTGAGACAATAGTCTGTAACAGAGACTATCCTCTCTCCTTATATAAAAAATGAATGCAATTAAATCCATGCACTTTCATCATAAGAGTCCTTTAATCATAGTCTGGGTATCATTTACCAAACTTCTGTTTACCTACAGCAGTGGTTCTCAACCCACAGCCCAATCAGCACACAGCTGTGGCCCATATGACATCCTCAGGGGCATAGAGGTAGTATGTATATTGTGTGGATGCGGCCCACATGCAGTTCTTTCTGTGTTATATGTGGCCCACCATGCTAAATAGGTTGAGAACCACTGCCTACAGCAACAATATATACTTTGTTAAAAAGCTCACGTTGGACTCAGTTTGAGTTGGTTTTATCTCTAGTACTTTTCAAACTTATATTGGCACACTCCAAAATAACTTCCTCAAGAAACTACATACTAACATTTTGATTTACAAAGAAATAAGCCAGAAAAACCCTCAAGCTGATAGATATAAATGCATCAAGTTGTTACCTTGTTCACAAATGTTCCGCAACTGCTCCTATTGCAAGACTGGCATTAGCATCTTTGTTATCAACCTCCCCATAACTTGGTGTCCAATAGTAATGCCTTTTAAGGCCATGAGAGAGTTCTGCAAGATATTCATGCCCATCCACTTCATACGGATCCACGTCTGTACAATTTGGTTTCAAGCGGCCAGTTTTAATTAAGTCTGAAAATGCCTGAAATGAACAAATGCAAAGGATTTAAATTTAACATTCTTCTAACACGTTCTGCCTGCCAGAGGCTTAGAAAGTGCAAAGCAGAACAGTAGAAGATGATACAGACTAGGTCAGCACTAAATGGCATTTTAATCGCTTGTATACTTTTCCTGTCCCGTAATTGTTTGGCATGAGAAGACTACGCCACAACTACCATAATTTTACAAGAAAATAAAATATAATGAACTACACATCAGTCTTACAAATAGTTTTCCTGAGCGCGCTAGTATAAAATGAAGATAAACTGTGGAAAAGATCAGTGATGAAGAAAACACTTACGACACAGGTGGCCTCATCCAGTTTGTTTCCCCAAATATAAATGTAGGAAAGCACCATGTTTGTTTTCATTGAATCCGAAAGAGCAACAAGTCCTTTTCCACTTATATTGTTGCTCGTTACTGCTAACCTAGTAAACAGAAGAAATAAAACAAATTATATAAGTAAATTCCAAGCCATTTGATTCCTACCACTTAAGTACAGTATTTCGAACAAATCAGCAACAAAAACTATTTTTATAGCTCAAATCTGTTACTAAGTCCTATATAATTCTAATATTCCTCAAGGCACTTCCTTGATTTGGTTGCCAAAGACTTTGACAATTCATTTCTTCAAAGCAGGTGACCCTATGCTTGGTGGCTAGCTCTCATATTTAGTCTGTTTTAAAGCATGGCCTTGGTTTCTAGCCAAGTTAAACTTTGATCCTGGAGCTGGGAGAGGTATGTTTGTATTGGTGAACCTGAGAGTTTTTCAGAGGCATCTAGCAGACCCTTTGATCTTTACTCCCCAAAACTAATGGCTTCAGGCAACACCTATGATCAGAGCTTACCTCCAGCCAAAGGTATGGTTTTCTGCAAGACATAAAATATATCCTGTAGGAGAGATTAGACAATCTCCTGGTGAACTTGAAATAAACTATAAAAAGGCTTCAAGAAAAATTATTTTTAAGGCCTGAAACAAGAAGACCCTTATTCTTGCAATGTGTCATGCTGACTTAAATGGCACTCCATGCAGCAATTAGGAATTTTGTTTGCAAAACATTTTACAGGAAAGGGCCTAAACAGTCAAGATACTAAAATGAATCGAGAACCAGATCTGACAGCCATATGTTCATTAGAGTGACTCGAGATGTGTACTGTGAACCAAATATAATACAGAGGAAAATACTATCAAATTAATTTTAGATTCATCCATAAGGGAAAAAGAAGAACTTGCTAAAATATCACAAGTATGAGAACAAGCAGCAAAAACACTTGGAACAGAAACTACTGTTCTATAGCAACAAATAACTTAAACCAAGGGGGGGGGAAACAAGTAAAATGGAAAAAAGTTTAAAGGGCTTTTAGTAGAATTGGCCGTAGGAAGGGTAAACCAGAAAATTTAGCAGCTTGGAAGTGTGCCTGGTGGAGGGAGGAGAGTTTGGGACTTTTGCCATAAAGGGAAGGGCTTGGCAGCAGTAGTGTTCCAGGGTTTAGTCACTGACGAGGTAAAGTTTGGCCTCCTTTTGTCAGGTGGATGATCAAATTTAGGGGTCAGAAGCTGGGTAGGGAAACTACTAGGGCTTTGTCACTGGTGGGAAGGGAGCATCTTCATAGAATATCAGGGTTGGAAGGGACCTCAGGAGGTCATCTAGTCCAAACTCCTGCTCAGAGCAGGACCAATCCTCAACTAAATCATCCCAGCCAGGGCTTTGTCAAGCATGACCTAAAAAACCTCAAAGGAAGGAGATTCCACCACCACCCTAGGTAACACATTCCAGTGCTTCACCACCCTCCTAGTGAAAAAGTTTTTCCCAATATCCAACCTAAACCTCCCCCACTGCAACTTGAGACCATTACGCTTTGTTCTGTCATCTGCTACCACGGAGAACAGTCTAAATCCATCTTCTTTGGAACCCCCTTTCAGGTAGCTGAAAGCAACTATCAAATCCCCCCTCTTTCTTCTCTTCTGCAGACTTAAATAATCCCAGTTCTCTCAGCCTCTCCTCAGAAGTCATGTGTTCCAGTCCCCTAATCATTTTTGTTGCCCTCTGCTGGACGCTTTCCAATTTTTCCACATCCTTCTTGTAATGTGGGGCCCAAAACTGGACACACTACTCCAGAAAGGCCTCACCAATGTCGAATAGAGAGGAACGATCACGTCCCTCGATCTGCTGGCAATGCCCCTACTTATACAGCCCAAAATGCCTTTAGCCTTCTTGGCAACAAGGGCACACTGTTGACTCATATCCAGCTTCTCATCCACTGTAACCCCTAGGTCCTTTTTTGCAGAACTGCTGCCTAGCCATTCGGTCCCTAGTCTGTAGCAGTGCGTGGGATTCTGCCATCCTAAGTGCAGGACTTTGCACTTGTCTTTGTTGAACTTCATTAGATTTCTTTTGGCCCAATCCTCTAATTTGTCTAGGGCCCTCTGTATCCCATCCCTACCCTCCAATGTATCTACCACTCCTCCCAGTTTACTGTAATCTGCAAACTTGCTGAGGGTGCAGTCCATGCCATTCTCCAGATCATTAATGAAGATATTGAACAAAACCGGCCCCAGGACTGACCCTTGGGGCACTCTGCTTGATACCGGCTGCCAACTAGACATGGAACCATTGATCGCTACCCGTTGAGCCCAACGATCTAGCCAGCTTTCTATCCACCTTATAGTCCATTCATCCAACCCATACTTCTTTAACTTGCTGGCAAGAATACTGTGGGAGACCGTGTCAAAAGCTTTGCTAAAGTCAAGGAAGAACACGTCCACTGCTTTCACCTCATCCACAGAGCCAGTTATTTCGTCATAGAAGGCAATTAGATTAGTCAGGCATGACTTGCCCTTGGTGAATCCATGCTGACTGTTCCTGATCACTTTCCTCTCCTCTAAGTGCTTCAGAATTGATTCCTTGAGGACCTGCTCCATGATTTTTCCAGGGACTGAGGTGAGGCTGACTGGCCTGTTGTTCCCTGGATCCTCCTCCTTCCCTTTTTTAAAGATGGGCACTACATTAGCCTTTTTCCAGTCATCCAGGACTCCCCCGATCGCCATGAGTTTTCAAAGGTAATGTCCAATGGCTCTGCAATCACATCCGCCAACTCCTTTAGCACCCTCGGATGCAGTGTATCCAGCCCCATGGACTTGCGCTCGTCCAGCTTTCCTAAATTGTCCCGAACCACTTCTTTCTCCACAGAGGGCTGGTCGCCTCCTCCCCATGCTGTGCTGCCCAGTGCAGTAGTCTGGGAGTTGACCTTGTTCGTGAAGACAGAGGCAAAAAAAGCATTGAGTACATTAGCTTTTTCCACATCCTCTGTCACTACGTTGCCTCCCTTATTCAGTAAGGGGCCCATACTTTCCTTGGCTTTCTTCTTGTTGCTAACATACCTGAAGAAACCCTTCTTGTTACTCTTAACATCTCTTGCTAGCTGCAAGTCCAAGTGTGATTTGGCCTTCCTGATTTCACTCCTGCATGCCTGAGCAATATTTTTATACTCCTCCCTGGTCATTTGTCCAATCTTCCACTTCTTGTAAGCTTCTTTTTTGTGTTTAAGATCAGCAAGGATTTCACTGTTAAGCCAAGCTGGTCGCCTGTTATATTTACTATTCTTTCTACACATCGGGATAGTTTGTTCCTGTAACCTCAATAAGGATTCTTTAAAATACAGCTAGCTCTCTGGACCCCTTTCCCCCTCATGCTATTCTCCCACGGGATCCTGCCCATCAGTTACCTGAGGGAGTCAAAGTCTGCTTTTCTGAAGTCCAGGGTCCATATTTTGCTGCTCTCCTTTCTTCCTTGTGTCAGGATTCTGAACTCGACCATCTTATGGTCACTGCCTCCCAGGTTCCCATCCACTTTTGCTTCCCCTACTAAATTCTTCCCAGTTTGTGAGCAGCAGGTCAAGAAGAGCTCTGCCCCTAGTTGGTTCCTCGAGCACTTGCACCAGGAAATTGTCCCCTACACTTTCCGAAAACGTCTTGGATTGTCTGTGCACCACTGTATTGCTCTCCCAGCGGATATCAGAGTGATTGAAGTCTCCCAGGAGAACCAGGGCCTGCAATCTAGTAACGTCCGTTAGTTGCCGGAAGAAAGCCTTGTCCACCTCATCCTCCTGGTCTGATAGTCTATAGCAGACTCCCACCATGACATCACCCTTGTTGCTCACACTTCTAAACTTAATCCAGAGACTCTCAGGTTTTTCTGCAGTTTCATACCAGAGCTCTTCATGTTTCTCCCTCTCTTCCCTCTGCCCCTAGCCTTTCTTGTTCCTACCATCCGTTCTCCCAAAAGAGGAGAGTCCATGTGACTTCCCTCCCACAGATTGACCCAGCAGTTCAACCCAGCCAGTCCAGACACTCAGGTTTGCTTTGCTGAGTGGGGAGCATTCCTTGGACTTGCATTTCACTGGTTCTGCCAGAGCCCAGGTGAAACCATGGGTCTGTCATCATCAGTGTCCCCAGCTGTCCCCATCCATGTGTGATTTTGGAAACTCTTTGACTTTGCAGTTTGGATCACTAGCATAAAAAAGTGATGTACTACAATACCAACTCATATACTGCTGTGTCACATTTTCTGATTTTCCAATAGTTACATCTGCAATCTCTTTTGGGGAGATTTATCTATACTAACGCTTGAAGAGTCCTGTTGTACAAAGCCAGGGCTTCACTCAGGTAGATGGCTCCATCATCTTCTATCCGGTTTGAATTAAGATCTAGGATTTCCAGAATTTGGTTCCGTTTCAGCAGTTCTCCCAGAAATTTCACACCATCACGAGTTATTTTATTACTGAAAGAGAAATATTTATTTTAAAAGGGGGGATCTTACTGAGAAACCTTCAGTACTGCTTCCGAGGCAGAAAACACCCCTCAGGCTGCTGAATAAACTGTTTTGAAATTTACAGCTGTTGAAGCAATCTACAACACATATACTTTAACTGGATTTTTACTCAAACTAGCACCTGTTAACACAAGCTAATAGATTAATGGGATTTTTAGAACCCATTCTTCCAATCCATGTGCAGGCACTTCCAATAGTTGCTGGGTAACAGGTTCAGGTCCTAAATGTCTTTTTTTGTATTCTTCCAATTTTGATTTTTTACATCTTCTGTAAAGTGGCATAATTTGACACTGTCTGATTAGTATGTACTGTAGAGTAAGTGCTCTTTCTTCACTCAAGTGTACAGTACTACAGAATTTAAGGCCAGAAGGGACCATCAGATTATCTAGTCTAACATCCTCTATATTACAGGCCACCAACACCACCCAGCTACCCTACCTCCACACCAACCTCAACAAGAATTAGACCAAACTATTAAAACCCGCAGGAGACTAAACTATTGCGTGACAATGGGTAGAAGAGAAGGAGGGACTGAAATGCACTCAGGCCTGAGGCCCCTGTAAGGCAGGGAAATGATTTAATGAGGTATAGCTGACCACGTAGGCTGAAGCTTGTAAATTCAGGATTAGACTATGGCATAGCCCTTAAGCAGAGGGGGGAGGGGCGAGAGGGAGACCTCTCTTCCCCTCCTTCTGTGGCCAGAGTCATAGCAGAGTTGACCAGCCAGGCTGGGGAGGGTTTAAGATGCTGCACTCCTTAAAGGGGTGTTGTCAGTTGCTCCTCCATATACACAGTGGGCATTGCACCTCCCTGAGGCAGAATGTTTTCTCCTTCTGTGCTCCTTCTGTGGTGGCATAGCTCTGCACCACCCCCACAGCTGTGGCTAAATACTAATTTATCCCTTAGTAATGTTGCATTCCCTCCAACTATGGCTTCCACCTCAACTCTCCATCTCACATAGAAAAATCACATTTTTTCTGGAGGGAACGGTAGCAAGTACCATACAATACTGCTATACTGATATTGCATGGTGCACAGTTTTCACCAGCAACAATATACTCTATATTTGTGTAGTTTAAACAAAATCAGAGGGTGAATCTTTTACCAACTGAGGTCAAGATATCGCAGGCTGCGGTTTTCATACAATGCATCACACAGTCGCTCCACACCGAAGTTCTTCATTTCATGTTTGCACAAATGCAGTTCCACAAGACAAGAATTATTTTTCATCATTAGAGATATATGAACTGTGGACTCTTCCTAAAAATAAAATCTCAGTTAAACTATCATTTTAACATCCCATCAGTTTTTAGGGCCAAACACCACTCTTTGATGTTTGGCCCCAGGAACAAGTACAACTTTCCCTGCAGTCAATGGTAGATGTTTACACATATCCGAGAGCAGAATATGACCTTAACTCATCTTCCTTCTGATGTATTACAAATTGATATACAAAAAGTCAGGAAACAATTTCTTATTGTGATCACTGGGAAAATAATGAATTACCAAAATGTGGCTGCAGATTTACAGAACTGTATATCCCCGCAGTGTAAATCTCAGGCAAGTCGATACTCTAACAACTACTAGTTCTCTCATCTACCTTGATCATTTCTTTTCCAAATTTCCATGACACAGTGTTTTAGGACTTGATCCAGTTCCCATTGACGTCAATGGTGTGACAGAAATACGTATCAACAATTATTTTATGAAGAGCAGAAGTCTTTGAAAGAGGGATTAAGTATAGAAAAAAACATATATCCTGCCTCTATAAGAGGCAGTGAATTGGTTTTAAAGTTATCACCTCTGGTTAAAACAATAATTTATAAGGGGCTTCAGTCAGGTAGACACAATGGAGAAGCCTACAGACCAGAGAGGAGTGACAAATGGGAAGACTCCCATAATCTTCAATTGGTGTCGGATTGGGCCCTTAATATAGCGTGGTGTTTATTCTGGTCCAGATTTTTTCAAAAGCAGGAGCCTAAATCCATGATTAGGCACCTTTGGTCTTGTCTACACAAGAAAGTTTTTTCAGTAAAAGCCAAGGTGTGAATTTAAACTGATGCAGTTATACTGTCAGAACCCCCCAAATGGACACTTATCTCATTTTAAGAGTGACATTTCTTTGGTTCTGTTTATGTCACTTAGGAAGGAGTTTAAGCTAAACAAAAAAAGCCATTCTTACTCTGCAATTCCCATTTAGACAACCCCTAAATAAGTGATGATCATCCAACTGCTTCTGTTGAGGTCAAGAACTGAGCACTTTGAAAAGAAGGCTGTTTCTTCATGTGCCTAAATTATGGTTCAGGAGCATAACTCTAGGTAAGGAGGTATGAAAATCTTGGCCTCTGAGTCTACAATCCTTTTTGTTGGTGTTCTCTCTTCCTTGGGCAGAAAGACTTAAAAAACAACTCTGGCAGCTATCACACAAGCATATAAAGAAGCCCCAGAGAGTCACGCTGTCCAAGACCACTATCGGCCTCCATAAAGCTATCAATATTGAGTCTATGTATGCATATATCTGTTTAATTGAACTGACCCTACAGTATATACACATACCTCTTGGCTATACAGTATAGGACGATTTAGGTTTAGGGCTTTCATCGCTTTGTTATGGCTCATAACTGTTGCTATTGCTATTAGACTTTGTGTACCCTGAAAACAAAAACAGATAAACTCTTTAGGGAAACCTGTTCAATATATAAATAAAGCAACATACCAAAGATACCATGCCTTCTTACAGGATGTATTTTTAGAAGATCATAAATATCAAATTGACATGAGTTAGAAATACTGTTATTTTTAGCTCCATGTGTTTTGGAGATATTCAGTGGTCATCTGCCTCTGCAGTATTGCAATACATACAAACATTTCCTGGAAATACCAGCAGGCAAAGGATGTTAAGAGAGTGGAACTGAACTAATAGGCACGAATTACTATGAGACCTGCTAAAAATAAACAGAATCTGATAAACTAGAGAAGAAGAATTTTTCGCAATGCATGGGGTAAAACTGTTAGTAATATCACGGGTATAGGGGGGCAGAGCTCCCCGGGTTCGGGATAGAGTTATGGAATGCAGGGCTATCTGGTCTAAGGTTAGAATTCAGGTAGGTGGGCCTCATTGAGCTAGGGTGAGGGTTGTGGAGGGCAGGGCTCTCCAGGTGAGGGTTAGGGTTCAGGTGAGTAAGCCTTCTTCAGCTAGGACTATGACTGTGGAGGGTAGGCTTCCCAGAGCTAGAGTTAGTGTTCAGGTGCATATGTCTAAAATGGGCTAGTATTAGGGATGTGGAGCTAAGGTGAGCTTTCAGGTCAGTAGCCGTCGCTGCACTAGGGTTAGCGTTGTGGAGTGTAGGGTTCTCAGCTAAGTTTAGTGGTTAAGAGTGTAGGACTCCTAAAGCTAGGGGTAGGGTTCTGGTGGGTAGGGCTCCCTAGGCTAGCGTTAGGACTGGGCTCCTTGGTCCAGGGTTAGTGTTCAAGTGAACAGGCCTCTCCGGACTAGGGTTGTAGAGAGTGGGGCTCCCTGGCTTGGGTTAGGGTAGGCGTTGTGGAAGGTATAGCCCTTAGGGAAAGGATAGCATGGGTAGGGGGTCCCTAAGATAAGGCTGGAATTGAGGTGGGTTGGCCTCTCTAGCTAGGGTTTTGGAGGGTAGAGCTCCCTGGGGTAAGGTGGGGATTGTGGGTATGCGTGGCTCCCCAGGCCAAGGGTGAGGGGCAGGGTAGATGAGAACTCACTAAAGCTAACACTCTTCTATTAATTATCTTCATATTAAGTGGATATGCATTATCTTCCACAGGAAAATTATGAAGTGTGTGAATCAGTGAAGTCAAATTAGTGAGGTTCTACTGTAGATGCCAGTTCTGATCTTTTATTCCTTTCCCCTCAGTCATACTTCTGTAACACGCTGAACTGTCAAAGGAACACTGTCTTTTGAGAAGCCGGTTATGCTCCTGTTTTTATAATCACATAGTGAAGCAGGAGACACTCCCTTAAACTGATTTTACTCAAGCATAGAAGTACAATTATCCAAAGCTTCTAAGAGCTGTGTTTATCTGTGGTGACTATATCTTCCCAGTAATACATGCTTGTAATGCCTTTAATTTTTAAAGGCATTTTCACCTTCCAGTTTGGGAGCACCAGAAATATTATGACAGGTTTCAGAGGAACAGCCGTGTTAGTCTGTATTCGCAAAAAGAAAAGGAGTACTTGTGGCACCTTAGAGACTAACCAATTTATTTGAGCATGAGCTTTCGTGAGCCACAGCTCACTTCATCAGATGTATACCGTGGAAACTGCAGCAGACTTTATATACACACAGAGAATATGAAACAATACCTCCTCCCACCCCACTGTCCTGCTGGTAATAGCTTATCTAAAGTGATCAACAGGTGGGCCATTTCCAGCACAAATCCAGGTTTTCTCACCCTCCACCCCCCCCCCCACAAATTCACTCTCCTGCTGGTGCTAGCCCATCCAAAGTGACAACTCTTTACATAATCAAGTCGGGCTATTTCCTGCATAGATCCAGGTTTTCTCACATCCCCCCCCACCCCCATACACACACAAACTCACTCTCCTGCTGGTAATAGCTCATCTAAACTGACCACTCTCCAAGTTTAAATCCAAGTTAAACCAGAACATCTGGGGGGGGGGGGGGGTAGGAAAAAACAAGAGGAAACAGGCTACCTTGCATAATGACTTAGCCACTCCCAGTCTCTATTTAAGCCTAAATTAATAGTATCCAATTTGCAAATGAATTCCAATTCAGCAGTTTCTCGATGGAGTCTGGATTTGAAGTTTTTTTGTTTTAAGATAGCGACCTTCATGTCTGTGATTGCGTGACCAGAGAGATTGAAGTGTTCTCCGACTGGTTTATGAATGTTATAATTCTTGACATCTGATTTGTGTCCATTTATTCTTTTACGTAGAGACTGTCCAGTTTGACCAATGTACATGGCAGAGGGGCATTGCTGGCACATGATGGCATATATCACATTGGTGGATGGACACAAATCAGATGTCAAGAATTATAACATTCATAAACCAGTCGGAGAACACTTCAATCTCTCTGGTCACGCAATCACAGACATGAAGGTCGCTATCTTAAAACAAAAAAACTTCAAATCCAGACTCCAGCGAGAAACTGCTGAATTGGAATTCATTTGCAAATTGGATACTATTAATTTAGGCTTAAATAGAGACTGGGAGTGGCTAAGTCATTATGCAAGGTAGCCTGTTTCCTCTTGTTTTTTCCTACCCCCCCCCCCCCCAGATGTTCTGGTTTAACTTGGATTTAAACTTGGAGAGTGGTCAGTTTAGATGAGCTATTACCAGCAGGAGAGTGAGTTTGTGTGTGTATGGGGGTGGGGGGGATGTGAGAAAACCTGGATCTATGCAGGAAATAGCCCGACTTGATTATGTAAAGAGTTGTCACTTTGGATGGGCTAGCACCAGCAGGAGAGTGAATTTGTGGGGGGGGGTGGAGGGTGAGAAAACCTGGATTTGTGCTGGAAATGGCCCACCTGTTGATCACTTTAGATAAGCTATTACCAGCAGGACAGTGGGGTGGGAGGAGGTATTGTTTCATATTCTCTGTGTGTATATAAAGTCTGCTGCAGTTTCCACGGTATACATCTGATGAAGTGAGCTGTGGCTCACGAAAGCTCATGCTCAAATAAATTGGTTAGTCTCTAAGGTGCCACAAGTACTCCTTTTCTTTTTTCAGAAATATTATGAGAATGAAACCTCATTCTCCATAGGTTTCTTCACTCAGACAGTACCCTGCACTAGAAACTTTCGTTACTTATATTAGCAGCCTTGTTCTCCAAGAAAGAACCCACTGCCATTATACGGATGGCCTGACAACTAGACTGGGTAGTCTGTGAGTGCACCTAGGGGAAGCTGGGGGCACCCATGGTCATTAACACAACATTGCTTTTGACACAATGTGGCTGATAATGAGAGGAGAGCACTTCTTGAAAGGGAGTGCACCTTTCAACGCTTCATACCCCTCCAGAAGCCTCTTTAGAATGAAAAGAGCCCTTAGAGAATAAGGAATCTCTTTCTTACATGAATTAGATGAGCTCTAGATGATATGACATATATAACACAAACTGAATCTCAAAAAATATTAGACTCTTTTCTCTTCGGCAGTAAAGGAACTGACCGTTAGAGGCTATAATGTACTACATCACATATTCCTATAAACACACTATGCTACAGGCCCTTCCAAGTGCATCTTGTTACTTGCAACAGGACATTTTGTGATAGTTGAAGATATCACAGTATATAAAACAAGGGCAACAGATGGCATCTTCCACTAATTTAACTACAGGACCTTTATAATACACTTGAAAGGCTATTAGTTTGCAGTTTAAGTTGATAATTTTACTTTACTCACCAAATCACAGTCTCCAAGATCTAACTTCTCTAAGGTCGAATTAATTTGCAGCATTGAAGCAAAGTACATCCCACCTTTGTTTTCAATTTTGTTGCCAGTCATTCTCAAGTGTTGGAGCGTTTCATTCCTCTAGTAAAGAAAATTTAAAAGGATTTTCCTGAAATGATCTAAGCTGTGATATTATACATTTAACTACCAATTTTTTAATTGTGGCATACAGACAAAATGTCATCTTCTGTAAGGAACACAGCCAATTGGTAACAGTAAGTTAGCTGCCTATCTTTTCACTGGGACTAGTTGCCTGAGTAAAGTCTACCAAGAGCATAAGGGTTTGCAAGGGTGGGAGGGCTCTGAATTATTTATGGGTATCTGTGCTTCCAGTATAATCTCCCAATTTTCATATGTTTATTAAAGAATTCCAGACTGATATTTGTGTCTAAATTGATAGCATAGACACAAACTGCTTAAAAATAGAGTTAAATCCATTCATCATTATATTTTATTATAATGTCTGTCTTTTCACATATTTAGCTAATAGCTGAATTTTGTAATGTAGAAAACTAGAATTTTGCAGGTCTTTCATCTGCCTTTATCCCATGAGTAATCAAAGCCCACTGAAGTCAACTGACTTCAGTGGAATTCCTCATGTGTAGACAGTTAAGCTTGTGTGCAGATCTTTGCAAGATTGGCCTCTTTTTTGGCAAACTAAGGGCTTGATCCAAAGTCCACTGAAGACAAGACTTCAGTGGGCATTGGATCAGGCCCTAGCTGTAGTGTATACACAATAATTTTCACTTTTCAATTCCTCAGTGCCACTGTAACAGAAATTGTGCTGAAAAATCCATTCTGAGCAATTTAAATATGAAATTACAAAAACCACATTTTATACGCTGATATGTGAGGTTATACAGTGACGTCCTTAACAAACTGATGTGAAGGCTAATCAGGTGACCATAAAAAAGGAAAATTTAAAAACAAAAACAGGAAAATAATAGTAATCCAATAGCAAGTTTCAGAACATAATGGAAAAATAAAATAAAAAAAATCTTGGCTATGTATGGATTTGTATGAAATTTTGCCCCATCAAATTTTGGTGAAATACATGACATTTTGGTTTTATTTTTCAGTTTCATAATTTTCACAAAGAGATATCCAGCTATTTTATAGTTGAAATCAATAAATATCAATGGCTGAAGAGGGCAGTTTTCTCTTCTTCTGAAAGATGATCTAAAAGTAGCAGAGAAACAGTCTGTCTTGAGAAGACAAGCAATCTCTTTGTTACAACAAATACTGTATATAAGGGGAAAAAAGGGATTTTTTAGATTAACTTTGATGCTGATGAGAGAGTTAGTTTTGTCCATCATAAAATATAATATCAAATCAGATGCTATTGTCAAAATTACTATAGTATATCGATTAATACTTACATGCAATGCTTTAGCTATCAATTCGGCTCCATTGGTGCCAATATCATTAAACATCAGATTGAAGTAGCACAGGGTTGCGTTTTCCTGCAGTACACAAACAGGAAACCGACGCCAAACTCAAAAATACATTTTACAGAGAAATTTTTCATTTTAAACAGCTGATGCCTCACACCGTTTTGAAAGACATTTTATTTAGAAACAGTTTTCTCCATAATTAATGTACTGAGCATAAACCTTTAAAAACAACTGTAACACAAAAATGAACACAGTAGTGATTAACCAAAAACTAACAAATATCCTTATTAACCAATAGACCAGCTTCAAACTGCTATCATTTGCATATTCAGTTTTCAACATGCCAAAGGTTTTTGTACCTACAACAAATAACCTCATCACAGAAAATGACAAGGGGCAAATCGGAGGTTTAGGCAAGTGGGAAAGTATTTCTTTTGATACTTGGGGAGGTGTGGGAGGAAGCTCGGGACGGGGGATACTGGTGCTAAAATACTACTAAAATGACTATCAGTAATAAACTTAATAGTGTTGATATTTAAATTGTCATCCTTAGGTTTCAGTTCAAAGCCCCGGGAAAAGACTGGGATAGTATGTGCCTCAGAGGTACTGTTTCAGTCTGTCAGCAGACTCAGGAAAGCAATACTGCATTGGTTTACACTGATCACATTTTCAAGATTTTCTACACAACTATTAGAGCTAGAAACATACATTTTCTTTTAAAAATGAAAGTTTAGGTTCGGAGCATGATTCTGCAGCGATGAGCTGACTCCATAGATGTGGAGTTGCAGACTACAGGGATTCCTATATATAGCTTGCTTCTAGATGGCACCAGAAGCCTATGTTTTAAGTTTCCATACATACTAAGGATATACATTATGTTTTTGTCCATTTCTGTTAATTTTTTGTCATGCACAATATACTACCAAAATGCTATACAAATGCCTCTTTTGCAGACTGTACTGTAAAAACCACATATATTGAAACAACTGCAAAAATGTTATGATGAATGCAATCTGATATTCTAAATTGATGGATTTGGATATGAAAAGCCAAGATTTCTGGAATTTTTCCAAAACAACACATACTGTCACCAATATATTGTACATAAATGTTATCATGGCCAATGAAACCACAAACTTGAGGTAAAAATCAAATATTTTGGCACAGAGAAAACTACCTGAAGGAATTTTGCAGCATGCTCTGCTCCATCATCAGTTAATACATTATATCTAAGGTCCAGCCCTGAAAGGCAAAGAATACAGAAATAAATAAGACTAACAACACTTATTAATAACTAATTGATCTCCACATGAAAGGTAAGACGAAAGAACCAATACTCAAAAATGTTTCTTGTTTCCAATTTATAAAGAGATATGAAGTAATGAGACAACTTACCTGTAACAAATGTGTTATTGCTTAAGATGCAGGCAAGCATTCGAAAATCCTCATCCGTAACCTTCTGTACTGGCAGTAAGCGGTTATTTCCAGCTATTTTTAATGTGATCCCTTTTGTCAATCTGTTGTAATGTAGGAATACTTTGAAACATAAGGATGGCAGGAGAAAGAAACACTATACAAAAGTATTAGTTCTATATGTATCACGGGACTGAGATGCAATGGTGCTTTCCCTCCACTAGTATTTTTATCAGGATTGTGAAATCTGGATCAAAAAAATCCATGGAGCACTATGCTATACTAGCTGTAATTCATAATTGTTCATTTTGGCGGCTTGATACACTGTACTGCCACAAGATCCCACTTAGAATTTTAGCAGCAAAATGATGCAGGAGCTTATTCTGAAAGGTTCATTCTCACCTTTTTCCTTATCCCCTTTCCTTTGTTTTATTCCACTCCACTCTCAATAATTGAGCACAGAAGAAAGCAATTCTTCTTTCCATTTTCTCTACATCATCTTTCCTCAGACCTCCCCAAACACGGAAGAAATCTGTTATCTATAGCCAGGCACTCAGATGACACAGAATATGCTCCAAGGAGAAAGTCCTGGATACACACCTTAGCACACTTAAAACTGCCTTCACCAAACAAGGGACACTCCACCAAAGTAGATCAAGTCATGGAACGGACCACCCAAATACCCCAAGAGAACCTGCTTCAATGCGGAAATAAAACCCTGTCTGACAACACACCCCTACTTGACCTCCTGCACCCACACTGGAACCCATACACAGTGCCATCAAACAACCACAACCCAGACTCAATTGGGACCCCCGCATCCTGAAAGAAATCTTTCCTGAACTTCCACTTCTGGCCTTCAAACTACCCCCCAACCACAGGAGCCAACTTTTGTTGGCACCGGTGGGGGCTCGCGCACCCCCCCCCCCCCCGACTCCACCCTCTCCCTGCCCTATTAGACCGCTCCCCAAATCCGTGCGCTGGCCCTGCCTCTTCCCCCAAGCGAGTGCACCGCGTTCCTCCTCCTCCCCCCTCCCTCCCAGTTCTTGCCGCACGAAACAGCTGTTTCACGGCGCAAGCGCTGGGAGGGAGGGGGAAGAAGCAGGACGCGGTGGCGCGCTCAGGGGAGGAGGCAGGGCGGAGGTGAGCTGGGGCGGGGAGCTGCCGGTGGGTGCAGAGCACCCAACAATTTTTCCCCATGGGTGCTCCAGCTCCAGAGCACCCACGGAGTCGGCGCCTATGCCCCCAACCTCTCCAAGCTCATCATCAGAAGCAAACTCTCCACAGACCAGGATACACCAACTCAAAGCAGTACCAGATCCTGCCAGAACAACAGATGCAAAACCTGCAGAGATATTTCCACTGCCACAATAATCAACACACCTTTCAAGATCCATGGGTCCTATACATGCCCATCAAATCATCCAGTGCACTAAATGCTCAAATAACAATTACATGTGTGAAACCAGACAATCACTATGCTCTCGAATGAACTCACACAGAGAAATGATAAAGGACAAAAGCACCCTATCACCTGTGGGTGAACACTTTTCACAAAGCAGTCACGCTATATCTGACATATCAGTCCTCATCCTCAAAGAAAACCTGCTTTCAAAAGATGAGCCTTGGAGCTTAAATTCATTACTCTGTTAGATATCAAAAATCAGAGACAGTGGATTTATGGCTTATTACAACAATCTGTTACCCACTAACTCTTTCTTTTTATCCGATGACTGCAGAGGTGTTAACGAGCGACTCTACCTTGAATGATCGCTTAGAACATGTGCTGAGTACTTATGTTAAACAGTCGGTTCCATCTTGCATTTAGCTGTGTTACTTGAAATACCTTTCCCACCAGAACCTGAAGAGCTCTGCGTGACTCGAAATCTTGTCTCTCTCACCAACAGAAGTTGGTCCAATAAAATATATTACCTCACCCACTTTGTCTCTCTAATATCCTGGGACCAACATGGCTTCAACTACACTGCATACTGCTCTGCCTAAAGGGTAGTTATCTCTTGCCCCAGTGGTGTTCCTAGGAGGAAGCTCTATCAAGTCAGACAATGGGCTAGAATTTAGTGTTTAATTCCCAGAAAGGAATGGCTCAGCGAACCAACTGTAGCTAATCAGGTGCAGTTGAACCTATTAAGGCTATATCTACACTATGGACTCGCGTAGCCACTCTGTGCCAGCGGAAGAGACCTCTCCTGCCAACATAATTAAACCACCCCAACAAGTGGCAGTAGCTTTTGTCGGTGAAAATTTTGTTGGTCAGGGTGTGTTTTTTTCACACCCCTGACCGCCAAAAGTCCTAGTGCAGACATAGCCTTAGGCTCAACAAAGAAGGGCATAAACTGTATGGAGAGAGGGATAAAAAGGGGTATGTCTTAATCAGAAGCCAGGAGAGACTGCTCCAGGAAAAACAGAGGTGTTACCCTAAATCAATGGTTTTCAAACTTTTTAGGCTGCATACCCTTTCCAAATAATGTAGTCCACCATGTCCCCCCTTCTGGGATCAGAGGTGATGCATGGCGGAAGGGGCACATGGAGTCACGTGTCCCTCCAGATTTCTGCTTTCCATTTAGCAACAGCTTCTAAAGGTTTTCAAACCATGGGGGGCGGAGAACGTTCAGAGGGGTGAGCGGCAACGCCAGGCCTATCTGTGTTGGGGAGCACATCCAAAAATTGTAACTCAAAGGGGAGGCTCAGCTCAAATTTGGGTGGCTTGCTGAGGTGAGTCAGGGTGGAGGTGACGCTCCCCCCACCCACCAAGTGCCACTGCCTGGGGCTGGCCCCCGGTGAGTCAGGCAGTGGAGGTGGGAGTCCCTCCCTGAGCCCCACCACTTTGGGCCGGCCCAAGCCACCTGGCGTCGCTGCTCGCACTCCCCCACCCTGAACATTCCTCCAGGGCATGCTCCTGTTTGAGAACCTCTGTACTAAATAAAATGCGTTGTCCGCCATTACAGGATTTTTCTCAGGTACCTGTTGATGAGAGCTTCCGTAGTTTGGAAACCACTGCCCTAAATGTTTTGTACATTTTAAGTTTTCTGCCTGGAAGGAATATGCAGCTACAGACTTTTGCCAAGCTGTTGTCAACTTGAATTAAACCAGAACTCCTGCAATAAAACCTAAACCCAAAAAGGGTGATTTGTATTTAAACCTGAGACTCCAGAGAACTGTCCTTTTTCATCATTCCACTCCTGGTCCTGTTACACTGTCCAAAGCTTTCAGAAGTATTTAAAAAATGCTATTTATTATTTCCTTACGTTATATCTGCTTTCTCAGCTTCTTCAAGCATGTGTGCAATGAAAGGGTTTTCTGGTTGGCTCGACTCTTGGCAGGCTTGCAAATACTGTTTATGGAGACTTAGATGAGTTGACATGACAGCTTGAAAATAAAAGCAATTTAGTAGACAGTTTTATGCATTTCTAATGTGCCCATCATATAGAATCTGGGGCCTCTACAAAATTGAGAGACAGCAGTAAGTCAAAGCACGCTACAGACTTTTAGTGTGCTGCAGGAGTTTCCATATGGCCAGTTAGTACATGGCAGGCTAGAGCACTGTAGATTTACACTATTTCCCGCGCACTAACTCTCCATATAGACAAGCCCAGAGTGATCTTTAGCGTTAACAGCAGGTAAGAGTGCGTGTTGCAATAATGCAGTCTGGAGGATTCACATGCATGAATCTCTGTGATAAGGCCACAACACAGGGGAATAGTTCAATCACTTAGCCATTTCTGGGTGGAAAAATGCATTTCAGGCTACTCCTTTTCGAGCATCGAGGTCAAGTATTATGATCTGGGACTATGAGCCATCTTGACTTTTCGGCCGTGTCTACACTACAAACTTTGGTCAACGCAAGCATAAAGCTGCCACAGTTATTATGTTGGCTCCTTGCATCAGTGCTCTGCATATTCACCAGGAGTGCTTGTGCTGATGCACAGCAGTGCACCGTGCATAGTTATTCCAGTGTGCGACTCACCATCATCCAGCACACTGTCTTTTGGGAAATTCTAGCAGTGCCTGGTGGGGCAGGAATAAGTTGTGCAGGGATCACTGGGAGCAAAGGGTCAAGTTCTCATCATGCAACTTTCTCTATCCCATAATGCCACCCATATCCCATCATTTTGGTGCCTTTTAAAAAAATCCTACAAAACTGCACAGCATTTCTCACTGACTGCCATAGCTGAAGCATGGAGCCCACAAAGCTCTACACTCTTGTCACGAGCATTGCAAATGCAAGGATGTATGATCCTCTGATATTTGCAGAGCTTCAAGAAGAACTACAGTAGCAGAGGATATAAACATTTATTGGAGGACAGATTATTGTGGAACATAGCGAGAACCAATTCAGTGTTGTTGGTGGAGTTCACGGAGCAGCTGCAGATGGTGGAATGCTGCTTCTGAGCCCGAGAAACAAACACTGACTGGGGGATTATATCTTAATGCAGATTTGGGAAGACAAGGCTTGGCTGCAGAATTTTCTGATGTGAAAGGCCACATTTCTGGATCTGTATGCTGAATCCCCAGCCCTCCAGCACAGGGACAGCAGAATTAGAGCTGCATGGACAGTTGAGAAGTGATCGCACTGTGGAAACTTGCAACACTAGATTGCTACCAGTCAGTGGGAAATTATTTTGGAGTTGGAAAATCCACAGTGCGGGCAGCTGTCATGCAAGTGTGCAGGGCCATTAATCGTCTCCTGCTACACAGGACTGGACTCTTAGTAATGTGCATGACATAATGGATGGATTTGCATCAGTGCAGTTCCCAAACTGTTGTGGGGTGACAGATGGCATGTATATCCCTATTTTGGCAACAGACCATCTTGCCAAAGACTACATCAACAGAAAGGCTTTTCTATGGTAATACAAGCATTGGGGGCTCACCCGAGACACTTCCCCACTATCAGTATTGGCTGGTCAGCGATGATGCACAACGCTTACATCTTTAAGAACAGAGGACTGTTCAAGAAAGTTGCACCCAAGGACATTCTTTCCTGACCAGCAGATTACCACTGGCGATGCTGAAATGCCAGTAGTGATCCCGGGGGACCCAGCCTACCCCTTGCTTATGAAGCCAGCCATCTCAACAGCACCAAGGAAAGCAGTTGCAGAATGACAGCTGAATGTGCTTATGATAGATTGAGGGGAATCTGGCCATGTTTATTATCATGATTGGATCTCAGTAAGAGAAACATCCCAACTGGTTGTAGCTGACAGTCATATCTTGCATAATATCTGTGAGGCAAAGGGAGAAATGTTGCCACCAGGGTGGAGGTGGAGTGGCTGTCTGCTGAATTTGAATGAATGCCAGACACAAGAGCTTTAGAATGAATGCTGAATGCCAGACACAAGAGCTATCAGAAGAGCTCAACATGGAGCTATGCAGCTGAAGGAGGCCTTGAAAGAGCCCTTTAACAGTTAACCACAGTACTGTAATGTGGTGTCGTGGATTGTGCTCTCTACCTGGTCCTGAAGTTTTGGGGGCTGCAGGGTCCTGTGTGGTGGTTGATGTACATTTATGAATGTAACACTCTCTGTTAATGCACCTATTAATATGCAGTGCTAGCTGTAACTTTATAATTATTACACTATGTTTGTCACTGATCCTATGAGTTCTGTTGTCCTGTATAATAAGTTGTGGGTGCTTTCAGTAGTTCCAGACATTCTGCAGCATATGTTGTGAAGTAATAAAGATGCCAAAAAATAGAATTTTATTGCGTCCCAAAACTAGTGCAAAAAACCTATGTGCAATTAAAAAACAAATACAGTAAAAAATTCCTAAATAAATTAACAGAACTTACAAGGGGAAAGAATGTTTATGTTCATTTCAGTCCATTTTGCCCACACAAACAGCAACTGGGGCGCTCTCAGTTCAGTTTATGTTAAGCTGTTCTTACTGTCCTCCAGCATGGAGTGGGAGGCATAGAGACACAGCCCCTGATGCCACATGGAAAGTTGGGGGCCTAGGAAGGTGCTAACATGGAGTTCTCCATTGACTGCAAAGGGAGGTGAGCCCATGCTTGTTGAACCTGTAGATCAAAAGGCTGCAGCATCTGTGTTTGCTGCTGGAGAAGCCCCATTATGCCCTAGTGCAGCTCCCTCCCTCTCCTTTTACTGCTGGGACTCCTGGGCCTTTCTCCATGCTGTCAGATATATTCACCCACCAGCCCCTCTGCTCACAGTCCGAAACGGCACTGTCTTGCAGGATCTCAGAGAACATATCCTTCTGAGTCATCTTCTTTTTCCTCTTTATCCAGGTCAGGCTTTCAACAAGTGTGGAGGGGGACCCCTCCAGGCCACAACCGTAGCAGACACAGAAAAAATACCCAGCGGTATCGTATTTATAAAGTGAAAGTTAAGTTTCAGAACTCCCTTCCGTTGCTCTCCTTAAGTTTTAAACAAGACATGCTTATTGACACTTCAGCTCCAGAGTGCCTGTGCCCAGCACTGCTCTCCAGCTCCAGCCATGGTGAGCATGGCCCAGCAGGGCCATGGGGGAAATGAGGAGGGAATTGTTCTGTAGGATGAAACAATAACATTTTGGCCCCCATGGGTATGAATGCAGGGCAATGGTGCTGAGTACTGGCACTATTTTCCACAGGCAGTGGTGATTTTAGCTGGTCTCTTGCTTCTGAGATTCACCAAGGCACAGAGAGCACAGCTGCTGCTGGCATCCCGAAGCCACTTGGGCCCATATGCTGCTAGCCTATTTACCGCCATGGTGCCTGCTGAAGTCATTGCAGACTGGCATGGGAAACTGTCCTACTGCAGAGGAAGAAATGAGACTGCCATCCCTAGAAAGCTTTGGGAGAGGATTGCGGAATATGAAAGTTTCATCGAGATCTCTCAGGAGGATTCAAGGGACATCCCTGTGTACATAAACAAACTGCTCTGCATGGCCTCCCTTGCCTGACTCTACAAGGAAATGAAAACTAGATAACTCTACCTCTGGTTTGATGTTCCACTACCTCTTCTAAGTCTGCTGCTTGCCGGGGGCTAAGATTCGCGATGTGACGGAGAGACTGCCGAGACTCATCAAGCCCTCGGATCGCTACCCCTTCCTGCTTCTCCACGTGGGCACCAATGATACTGCCAAGAATGACCTTGAGCGGATCACTGCGGACTATGTGGCTCTAGGAAGAAGGATAAAGGAGTTGGAGGTGCAAGTGGTGTTCTCGTCCATCCTCCCCGTGGAAGGAAAAGGCCTAGGTAGGGAGCGTCGAATCGTGGAAGTCAACGAATGGCTACGCAGGTGGTGTCGGAGAGAAGGCTTTGGATTCTTCGACCATGGGATGGTGTTCCAAGAAGGAGTGCTAGGCAGAGACGGGCTCCACTTAACGAAGAGAGGGAAGAGCATCTTCGCAAGCAGGCTGGCTAACCTAGTGAGGAGGGCTTTAAACTAGGTTCACCGGGGGAAGGAGACCAAAGCCCTGAGGTAAGTGGGAAAGCGGGATACCGGGAGGAAGCACAGGCAGGAATGTCTGTGAGGGGAGGGCTCCTGCCTCATACTGTGGATGAGGGGCGATCAACAGGTTATCTCAAGTGCTTATATACAAATGCACAAAGCCTTGGAAACAAGCAGGGAGAACTGGAGGTCCTGGTGATGTCAAGGAACTATGAGTGACTGGAATAACAGAGACTTGTGGGATAACTCACATGACTGGAGTACTGTCATGGATGGTTATAAACTGTTCAGGAAGGACAGGCAGGGCAGAAAAGGTGGGGGAGTAGCACTGATGTAAGGGAGCAGTATGACTGCTCAGAGCTCCGGTACGAAACTGCAGAAAAACCTGAGTGTCTCTGGATTAAGTTTAGAAGTGTGTGCAACAAGAGTGATGTAGTGGTGGGAGTCTGCTATAGACCACCGGACCAGGGGGATGAGGTAGATGAGGCTTTCTTCCGGCAGTCACGGAAGCTACTGGATCCATGCCCTGATTCTCATGGGTGACTTTAATTTTCCTGATATCTGCTGGAGACAATACAGCGGTGCATAGACAATCCAGGAAGTTTTTGGAAAGCGTAGGGGACAATTTCCTGGCAAGTGCTCGAGGAGCCAACTAGGGGGCCTTTTTGACCTGCTGTCACAAACCGGGTAGAATTAGTGGGGGAAGCAAAAGTGGATGGGAATCTGGGGGCAGTGACCATGAGTTGGTTGAGTTCAGGATCCTGACACAGGGAAGAAAGGTAAGCAGCACGATACGGACGCTGGACTTCAGGAAGCAGACTTCGACTCCCTCAGGGAACGGATGGCCAGGATCCCCTGGGGGACTAACTTGAAGGGGAAAGGAGTCCAGGAGAGCTGGCTGTATTTCAAGGAATCCCTGTTGAGGTTACAGGGACAAACCATCCCGATGAGTCGAAAGAATAGTAAATATGGCAGGCGACCAGCTTGGCTTAATGGTGAAATCTTAGCGGATCTTAAACATAAAAAAGAAGCTTACAAGAAGTGGAAGGTTGGACATATGACCAGGGAAGAGTATAAAAATATTGCTAGGGCATGTAGGAATGTTATCAGGAGGGCCAAATCGCACCTGGAGCTGCAGCTAGCCAGAGATGTCAAGAGTAACAAGAAGGGTTTCTTCAGGTATGTTGGCAACAAGAAGAAAGCCAAGGAATGTGTGGGCCCTTACTGAATGAGGAGGCAAACTAGTGACAGAGGATGTGGAAAAAGCTAATGTACTCAATGCTTTTTTTGCCTCTGTTTTCACTAACAAGGTCAGCTCCCAGACTGCTACGCTGGGCATCACAAAATGGGGAAGAGATGGCCAGCCCTCTGTGGAGATAGAGGTGGTTAGGGACTATTTAGAAAAGCTGGACGTGCACAAGTCCATGGGGCCACGAGTTGCATCCGAGAGTGCTGAAGGAACTGGCGGCTGTGATTGCAGAGCCATTGGCCTTATCTTTGAAAACTGTGGCGAACCGGGGAAGTCCCGGATGACTGGAAAAAGGCTAATGTAGTGCCAATCTTTAAAAAAGGGAAGAAGGAGGATCCTGGGAACTACAGGCCAGTCAGCCTCACTTCAGTCCCTGGAAAAATCATGGAGCAGGTCCTCAAAGAATCAATCCTGAAGCACTTGCATGAGAGGAAAGTGATCAGGAACAGCCAGCATGGATTCACCAAGGGAAGGTCATGCCTGACTAATCTAATCGCCTTCTATGATGAGATTATGGTTCTGTGGATGAAGGAAAAGCAGTGGATGTATTGTTTCTTGACTTTAGCAAAGCTTTTGACACGGTCTCCCACAGTATTCTTGTCAGCAGTTAAGGAAGTATGGGCTGGATGAATGCACTACAAGGTGGGTAGAAAGCTGGCTAGATTGTCGGGCTCAACGGGTAGTGATCAATGGCTCCTGTCTAGTTGGCAGCCGGTATCAAGTGGTGTGCCCCAAGGGTCGGTCCTGGGGCGGTTTTGTTCAATATCTTCATAAATGATCTGGAGGATGGTGTGGATTGCACTTCAGCAAATTTGCGGATGATACTAAACTGGGAGGAGTGGTAGATACGCTGGAGGGGAGGGATAGGATACAGAAGGACCTAGACAAATTGGAGGATTGGGCCAAAAGAAATCTGATGAGGTTCAATAAGGATAAGTGCAGGGTCCTGCACTTAGGACGGAAGAACCCAATGCACAGCTACAGACTAGGGACCGAATGGCTAGGCAGCGTTCTGCGGAAAGGACCTAGGGGTGACAGTGGACGAGAAGCTGGATATGAGTCAGCAGTGTGCCCTTGTTGCCAAGAAGGCAATGGCATTTTGGGATGTATAAGTAGGGGCATAGCGAGCAGATCGAGGGACGTGATCGTTCCCCTCTATTCGACATTGGTGGGCCTCATCTGGAGTACTGTGTCCAGTTTTGGGCCCCACCTTCAAGAAGGATGTGGATAAATTGGAGAGAGTCAGCGAAGGGCAACAAAAATGATTAGGGGTCTGGAACATATGAGTTATGAGGAGAGGCTGAGGGAGCTGGGATTGTTTAGCCTGCAGAAGAGAAGAATGAGGGGGATTTGATAGCTGTTTTCAACTACCTGAAAGGGGGTTCCAAAGAGGATGGCTCTAGACTGTTCTCAATGGTATCAGATGACAGAACGAGGAGTAATGGTCTCAAGTTACAGTGGGGGAGGTTTAGATTGGATATTAGGAAAAACTTTTTCACTATGAGGGTGGTGAAACACTGGAATGCGTTACCTAGGGAGGTGGTAGAATCTCCTTCCTTAGAGTTTTTTAAGGTCAGGCTTGACAAAGCCCTGGCTGGGATGATTTAACTGGGAATTGGTCCTGCTTTGAGCAGGGGGTTGGACTAGATGACCTTCTGGGGTCCCTTCCAACCCTTATATTCTATGATTCTATGATTCTATGATTCTAGGAGGAGTAAATTAATGAAAAGTCAATACCTGCTTCCTGCTGCACTGGGTCAGGCACCATCTGTACATTTAGTCACTGTCATGGGAACTGCATTCACACATTTACCCAAGGCTCCTTTCCCCACTCGCCCGAGCTCTGCTGCTGCCACTGACTAGACGGCGGTGGAGCCTCCAATGGGTCCTGGCTCGCAGCATAGTTGGACACCCCTGACCGCATGTCCCCCATCCTCCTCCTCACTGTTCACAGCGAGGGTCTGTCTCTCAGGCTCCTCAGCAAGTATGGCATGCAGCTTATTGTAACAGCAGCAGGTCTGTAGCTCAGCACTAGATCAACTGTTGGGTCCCCATGCCTTCTGGTATGCCTCCTGCAGTTCCTTAGCTTTCACATGTCATCGCTGCTGATTCCTGTCATACCCCTTCACCTGCATCCCCCATGTAATCTGTCACATTTTTGTGGCTGTTCCAAGCCTCAACAGCCTCTTTTCCCCACAGGCCAAGGAGATCTGATGCCTCTTGTCTATTCCAGGCAGGAATGCATCTGGAGCATGTAGCCAGCATGGTCGGTTTGGCAGTTGCACACAACAATGTGCATGCTGTGTTCACAAGCTGGGCAATCAGGAAAAGGCATTTCAAAAACATGTGAGGTTTTTAGTGAGGGTGGGTGGGTAGCTTCGGATCTCTGTAACCCCTGGGCAGCAGAGTTCACACTTCTGACCAAAGCAGTGAGTTTCAAGCATTGTGGAACAGCTGCTGGAGGACTGTTAGGGTCAATGTATCTACACTGTATTCGATCAACCACAGTACGTCCACCATGGCTTGATGCCATTTGGGCAGGTGGAGTTACTGCGTTGCTGTAACAGGGTGTTTACATACGCAGGAGACAAATTTGTATCTCATGCAAAACTAGGTTGATGCAAGGCAACTTACATCAACCTAACTTTGTAGTATAGACCAGTCCTGAGAGGCAGATACTCAGAGAGTGAAATCAAAGTTCCTCAAAATGATGTAGTGAGCTTGAGATGTGAACGTTGCAGACACACTCAAACTTTTAAAATAAGTCAATTAAAAATAACTGCAACTCTGCTGACAAATAAACAACAGAGCAATTTTCCCCTTTTGGGCTGAGGTTCAACAGTCAGCAGTTCTGATAGCAAGATTGATCCCATCTCCAAACTTGGGGGAGGGGGGGACAAAAAAATACCACCTTGGTAGAAAGACTCTAGACTTGGCACTTTTAATCAATATTCAGCATCAGGCAAATGACAGCGTAATACAGATGAAAGGCAAAACAACCACTTAAGCATCCTTCGTCCAGTTTAGAGTTATATGTTGTCCTTGCATATGTACATGTTTATTCATACATTCCTGAGCACTCAAGGCAAGCCCTTGTCTTCACTAGGGGAAAAAATGGCATGTTCCTACCTCGAAGTAAAACTCTAGTGAAGACAAGGCAGTTTGGAGTTTTTACATAAATTAACAGATTGGCCTGTTAAAGGCTATGGGTCAGACCTTGAAGACAAGGCCCTAACTCACACAGGGGCTGATGCAGACAAGCCCACAGAATCAGGAACCACTCCTCTGCTCTACTGCACTGAACAAATCTTGGATGCTTGAGAGAATCTTCCCACAATGTTTACTATAGGATTGTACATATAGGGTATTTCTACACTGCAGCTGGGACAGACTCATGGACAGACTCATGGGACAGACAGGTAGACAGACTCATGCTAGTTAAGCTTGAACTAGCATGTAAAAATAGCAGCATGGTTGGCCCTGGTGGAGAGGCAGGCTAGCCACCCTAGCTAAGATCCAGGGGGTTGGGAGTGCCTGAGAGCCCAAGCCACAAAATCCACACTAGTATTTTTTGTGCGATAGCTCAAGCCTGACTAGCACAAGTCTGTCTGCCTGTGACCAGCTGCAGTGTAGACTACCCAGACATTCTTTCCTCCATGGCAAAATAACAAGCCCAAGGGTGTGAGTACTGAATTTTTTACTAAGCAAAACCAAGAGAGAGATTTCACTGTTCCAACATACTTGATCATCTTTAATCTACTTTTAAATTAGACTATACTCTTAAAGGCCTGTATCTTATATTGATATTTCCTTAAATAATAAATAATGTGTGTCAATATGCAGCAGTGGAGAATTTCAACACAAATTACATATTAACTTATGGCATAACTTTTCTAGCAATAAAGTTACCTTCAGAGGAGTGAGCTGTCATTTCACAAAAATCACACTGCTCTCTAGGTGCTCTCACTGACAACTCTGATGTCACACTACGGAGCGGGGGAAAGAGCCTAATATTAAAAAATAAATCAATTCCCCTTCTACAAACAGCCAAACACACACACCCATCTCTTCTAAAGGCTTTCCCCTTATTTCTGTTGGGCTTGTAAGAGTCGCTTGTTTGCCCATTACAAGTGGATGCTTCAAACATTAACGATATGCCTCACAGGTTTTAGTTTCAAAGAAGTTTAAAAAAAAAAAAAAAAAACCAGGCGCAGCAAAGCACAGCTCACCGGGTAGGGGCCCGATCCAGCCGAGCGTGCATCGCCTTCACGGCGGATGGAGGCAGCCCCATTGTGCCCACGAGGAAGCGCTGCTGGGCCGGCAGAATGGGGCCCTGGGCTACGTGCCTGTGGGTCCTTTCCAGCCGTGCCCCACCTGGCCGGTCTCTCCCCCTACACGCAAGGGGGGCGGCAGATCCGATCACGCCCAGAGACGCCGTGGAGAATATCCTCCCCCGCCCGCACCCGCCTTTGCTTCTGCACCCTACACGCCGGGGTCTCCCACGAAACGCGGCGGCGTGAGCCCCCCACCCCTGCGGCGTGAGCCCCCCACCCCTGCGGCGCACCGGGCCTCCTGCCCCCGTGACTCCAGGCTGGGGTCTCCCTGGCCGGCGGGCCCCTGCGCCCTGAATGCCTGGGGCTCCCCGGGGCTGGGGGGTCAGAGTCCGGGGGCTCCGGGGGCCCCGGCGGCACCCCCCCCCCAGCCCGTGGCTACCTGCGGCCGCTGCCATGGGGGTTCCCGAGCGCTGCCCCCGCCGCGAGCTCAGGTCCCCGGCCGCGGTTGCCATGGGGACAGCGACCGCACGCGCTTCTCGTGCGGCCGGAGGGTTCTCCAGTGCGCCTGCGTCCCGTCGTCCCACTCAGGTAAGGAACGACCCCCGCGGGCACTGCTAGGGAAGGCGCTGAGCGAGCCTGCCCCGGTCGAGGGTCACCCTCGCACGCCCCCACGCAGGGCGGGCTGATTCCGAGACCCAGCGGTTGCTGGCGCGGAGCCTTCCCTGTGCCAGCAAAGCCCCTCGCTTGCGAGACATGCCATGCATTAGCTTGGGGTATCCCCGGAGCGCCATGAAACTGGGGACCCCTCCCAGGAGCGCTCTGCAACGGGGTGAAACTGGCCCTGTGAATGCATTGAACTGGGGTGCTCTGCAATGCCGTGAGCTGGGGATCCCTCCCCATGAAGAACATATGGGAGCAGAGTCCCCCTACACAGCCATGAAAATACCTCTCCATACAGAGGAGTTCATTCTGAAAAGCCACAAACTTGGGGTTCTCTCCACAGGAGGATGTTTGATTGGGGTCCTCTCTGCAAAGCCACAAACTGCCTACCTCCCTCTCCCCCTCACACAAGCCTTGGAATTGGTTGAGTCTCATCCTGCGATGGCATCAATTTCTCAGAACCATGAAATTGGAGGGTTGATAGGGGTGCCCCAACAGGCTTCACTGGAAATATTCCTTTTTCTGGTGCTCTGACCCACTTTGTGTGTCCTTTTAATGGATGCCTTACATGTTGCTTAATGGAGGAATTGTTAGGAGGCAGTCCCAACCCCCTACCCCTTGGATGAAATAGCACCCTGCATAATTGCACGTTATTACTGGGCAATCTCTCTTGATGTGCCCAGGTTTGCTGGATCAGTAACCTACCCCCAGGACTTCTCCCCCCTCAAGGGAAATTCTCCAACACTGTGGAGCTGAACCATTCTGAAACCCTACATCTAGGGCTAGGCAGGAGTCTGACCCCTTGAGAGCTTGCCCCAACCTCCCATTCTTGCTCTTCCCCCGGGACACTCCCGCTCTGTTCAGGTCTCTCCCCGGATGATGGCCAAAACCGCCTGACTCAACTTTGGGCTCCCATAGGCAGGATCTACAAGAATTGGTCCAGAACCACCAGTCAATAATTGTCTTCACACAACTAGCAGGTAGCAAGGTCCTGTAACCACTGGACCATCTTCTTCACCAACCTGTGTTCTCCACCACATGTATGCTACTGGTCTGTCTCCCCCACCTAGGAAGGACTAATGACCACCACACCCAACACTCTGCAGGCCTCCAGCTGAGCTTTATAAGGAGCTCCTGCCCCTTCTGCACTGTGTCTGATGATTGACCAGGACAGGTTGGTCCCAGGCCTCCTGACATCCTTAAAGGGGCAGACCAGCCTGTTCACACAGGTGTCTGTATCGGTCCCTCTCATTTAATACATTTTTCTGCTGTCTGTCATTGTCTTAATATTACCCTTGTATACAGGACATGTGCTGCTGCCTCTCACAGGGCAGAAGCAGGGTGTATGACAGTGCACAAACTTTGGTTCTACATCAAAAATAGAAAACTATTCCAACCTGCATGTTTGGAACTATTCCAACTTATCCCAAACTGCATGGTTATGATGGCTACTGCTTTGTCTCCAAATCTGAGCTTCTTTCCCTCTCTCCCCATCTCTTTTTCCATTCATAGGAACACAAGAATCACCATACTGGATCAGATATGTGGTCCATCCAGTCCAATATCCTGCTGAGGGAGTAGCCAGCACTGGATTCTTCAGAAGAACATGCAAGAAATGCTGCAGTAGGCAGATGAGGGATAATTTGTTCCCTAAAAATTCTCCTCTTAGCCTCTAATAGTCAGAGATTGGTTTAAATCCCAAGTCATGAGATTTTATATGCCTTCCAAAACTTTTTTTTTTTTTTTAGCATTTACTATTATAATTCTGGATATTCTTGTTATAAGTGTCCAATCTCTTTTTGAATCTTGCTAATTTCTTGGCTTCAAGGGCATCCTGTGACAATGAGTTCTGCAGTCTAATTTACGGCTTGTGTGAAAAAGTATTTCCTTTTATCAGCTTTGAATTTGCTGCCTTTCAATTTCATTGATTGTTCCCTTGTTCTTGTTTTATGAGATGGGGCAACAGACATTCTGAATCCAATTTCTCTATACCACTTGTTATTTTGTATATTTTTCATTCCTCTCTCCCTTTCTGCTGATGCTTGCAAACAGCTCATCTTTGGGATTATGACATCCTTTCAAGTGAGATTATGATGTAGAGGTAAATGAGTCAGCCACCAGCCTCTTGGTTTTTCCTCCCATTGCTTTCTCTGCTGCTGCTGCTACTCTTTGAACATTGACTTGTGGGATCATGATGTCCACCCCAGTAGGTTTAAGACATCAGATGCAAGTGAGCTAATCCCCTCCTCTTCCTATTATTCCCTATTTTCCTTTATTCAGTAACATTCTGCAATCCTAGGATTTTAAATGCGTATATACATATGATTCAAATGACACGTACCTTGTCCATATTGGTCAGAAACTATAGAAGTAATAAATGTCATGTAAAATGGTGATATCATTTGTAAAACTCTGCTATTATTGAATTATTATTTAATATAGTAGTGGTCAGAGGCCTGAGCTGAGATCTGGAGGCCATTATGCTAGGGGCAGTATAATCATAAAACTATATCCAACATGGTGCCTGTTGCACAAAACCCATAGGACAACTCTCTGGTCCTGATTCAGCAAAGCATTTAAACACATCCTTAGCCTGAATGTGGATAATCCTGTTCCTATTCAGCAAAGCACATAGGCACATGCTTTAAATTAAGTGTTTTGCTGCCTTTGAGCCTATAAAGGCGTGATGCTTCTTAGGTTCATCAACTCCCATTGAAATCAAGATCATGCCCCAGTTGAGCAAAAATTCCAAAGCAATACTAGAATATGAAAATCGGGACACTTTAATGATAGAAAAGATCTAATTTCCAGGAGGTATCACTGTTTGGAGGTATCAAAGTTTCCAGTAAACTGGAAACTTTGAAAAAAACACTGAATTTTGGGAGGAGAAATCCAAATTGATCTGTACTGAAAACATTTTAAGAATATGAGCACATTTCCTCTGCTGGTATAAACTTTTATAGCTCAATGGAGCTATGCTGATTTACACCAAATGAGGATCTGCCACATAAAACTTACTTCAAAAAAGGTGTTGAATTTATTTCAGAACACACTGAATGCATCCGATGAAGTGAGCTGTAGCTCACGAAAGCTTATGCTCAAATAAATTGGTTAGTCTCTAAGGTGCCACAAGTACTCCTTTTCTTTTTGCGAATACAGACTAACACGGCTGCTACTCTGAAACCTATGTAAGAACTGTTTATTCAATTTAAAATCACTTGACAATATAGGGCCAAATTCTGCTCTTGGTTACACTGGTATAAATTGCAGTAACTGCTTTAGCTTCAATGACATTACTCCAAATTTACACTGGTGTAGCTGAGAACAAAATTTGGTCCAAATAATTTTATACCTAGGACTTTCTGGCGCATTGGGCTAAATTCAGTCATGGTGTAAGCAGATGCATCTCTGTTGACTTCAGTAGCATTTCATCCACTGAATTTGGCCCTTTGTGCCTTTACCAATACACTAAGGGCCAAAAAATGCCTTTATTTTCATTCTTTCAAGCTTTGGATGTCAGTGAGTAACATCAGCTTCAGTGGTATGGGTGCATCTGAAGTCAGAATCTGCCCCTAAATATTGAACTATTTCATCCTTTGATTGTTATTTATTTAAGTGGGTTAAAGTTGGAGTATTACTGATTCCTTATTGTTTTCTCTTTAGAGTTAAAAATAAGTAGCACAGATGGTTGAGATTCAGCAGAGCCCTGATGCCATTGCAGTGAATGTTCATTTCTCAAGAGCAGATACCACAATTCTTGAGAATGACAGTTTGCAGATTTCACAGGAAACACAAGAGACTAAAGAACTAGAGGAGGATGCTCTACCTGTACACGTCACAGATCGGATATTTTTTATTGATTTAGCCAATAAGCAACAGACAACTATCCCTTTACAAATCTTTGAACTGGAAGATCTGGAAGAATTGCACTTGGAAAAAAACTTAATTGAAAACATCCCAGGTGATATCCATCGTCTTAAGAAGGTGAAAGTTCTCTATCTGAATAAGAACTACATACACAACGTATGTGAAGAACTTGGGGAGCTGAAATATCTTCAGAGCTTAGATTTAAGTAGCAATCCACTCTCTTACAGTTCGCTGCATATAATCAGCAAACTGCAGGCTCTCCGTCAGCTCAGGCTCTATGATGTAAACTTGGATGAGTTCCCAGTGGAGATCTGTAAATGCCTCCATCATGTTGAGCTGCTTGGACTCTCTGGCAATAATCTAAGGTATCTGCCTAAAGAAGTAGTGAATCTGAGACAACTTAAAGAGATCTACCTGCAAAAAAACAGATTTGAAAGCTTTCCCCTGGAGCTTTGTCACCTTCTTAACCTGGAAATACTAGATCTGGAACAAAATCGAGTGAGTTTTGTCCCAGAAGAGATTGTATCTTTAACAAACTTAGTGAAACTATTTTTAGCTTTCAATAACCTGTTATCAGTCCCTGATACATTGCATCACTGCCGGAGACTGACTGTGCTTGATTTGTCTAATAACCTCCTGCGTAGGCTCCCTCCTAGCTTCAAGCAGCTCACAGAAATGAACGAGCTTGGTCTGTCTGGTAACAACTTGGAAAAGTTTCCACGTCAGATTTGCCACTGGATGTCCCTTTGCCTCATTTATTTGAAAAACACTGGCTTGCAAATGCTACCATCTTCCTTTACCAGATTAACCTGTATCAAGATATTAGATCTCAGTGAAAATTTCTTTGATGAATTCCCTAAAGAGATTTGTGCTATGGAAAATCTGGAAATATTGTCACTGGATGACAATCAAATACGTGAGGTATTGATTTATTTATTTTTGGCGTGGGATTCTAGATACACTTCAAATTCACTAGGCTAATATGCATCTCAAATGTAATAGTATGAGCCACTTAACTCTACAACATAGGGAGATAATCATATGTACGGTCTTTTGGGGCAGGATCCATCTTTTTGTTCTGTGTTTGTACAGCACCTGGCACAATGGGGTCTTGGCCCATCACTGGTGTTCCTAGATGCTAAAATAATAAATAGTAATAATAATAATACAAGCCTGACTTCAAGGACGTGAGACTCAAGAATATGTAAGCCTCTAAGGTATGCAAACCCCAGCAATCCTTATGCCAGGCAGCACAGCCACATAGAGATGCCACTAATTGGGGAAGCAGGAAACAAAAGATTCTGTTCCTGGCTCTGCCATTGTCCAGCTGTGTGATCCTGGGCAGGTCACTTCACCTCTTTGCCTCAGTCTCTCAATCTCTAAAACAGAGCTGGTAATACTTACTTTCCTTTGCAAAGGGCTCTGAGATCTTTGGCTGGAAAGCACCACTATAACTGTTGAATATTATTTTACAGGGAAGAGGTCTACCCAATGCAGAAGCCAAAATGTTTCCAACTTCCCATACAGTGAGACTTCCTACTGTAATTTCTCTTCTCTCTTCCCAATTTAGGGACATGCCTTTTGCTGGAGTGGTCTCATCCACATTAGTCACTGGATGAGGGCAGCTGTAGAAGCAATATAATTTACCTTCCCTTTCTCATTTCTCCTCCATTGCAATTCAGAGCCAGTTTATCATGATTCAGTCTACCCTCCACCACGCAGTGGAGTTAGGTATCAGTAACCTGGCAGTTCTCACTGTCACTGCTAGCCACATTCAATGAGTGTCAATACCAAAGCTGGCCTGCAACTTAATTTTTAATCTATTCAGATAGCTACAGCTCGCTCTTCTTTAACACATGTGTACAGGATGGCATTGAGCTATCTAAGGTATTCTAATTATTCATTGTTTTCCTTTAACATTAACGGGAGTCTTGAAACTATATCCCAAGGCATCAAGAATTCTTTCACCTCTAAGTATTTGATGGCCCCAATCCTGTAATAAGGTCCTTGCAGGTACTGGGGTGCAAAACATGAGCTTCATAAAGGATGGGAGCCTAGATTGCCCAAGAATGATATGATATGGAAGAATTGTACTTCGGTGCTTTACTTGAAGGATATTTTCTTTGATGCTTGTGCAGTGTTCATTATAAGGCGGGGTGGCCAAATTTACTGACCCTGGGAGCTGCAGATGATAATCTTCAGAAGTTTGAGAACCTAGCAGGCCTGCCAGGAGTTGGGGCTTCTGCCCTGCAGCGGGGCGGTGGGGGTCTCGAGGCTTCTGCCCTGCAGGAGGTGCCTGCCAAGACTTGGGGCTTCTGCCTGGAGAGGCGTCTGCCGAGGCTCGGGGCTTCTGCCCTGCTCCTGTTGAAGCTCCTGCAGGTGCTTCCTGTGGGGCTGATGCCCCAAGACCCCACTTCCCGCTGGGTAGACGCTCCTAACCTGACCACTGCACTGTGGGGCTGAAACCCTGAGCTCCCCACACCCAGTGGAAAATGTGAGGGATGACATGGTGGGTTCCACAAGCTGCACTTTAACTATAAAAGAACTACGTGCAGCTCCCAAGAGGCGGTTTGGCCACCCCTGTTATAAGGCATTATGTACAAGCTGTGATATGAGACACTGCTATACGCTACCCAAAGGCAGCAAGGTGCTAGAATAACCCATTCTTAAAGCCATTGGAGCGGATGAGTGGCGGTAGCTTAATTAAAATTGCAGTTAATAAAACTACTGATAGTTATTATGTTCAGAACGTTTCTTTCCTAATGCTGATGTGCATGACAGCCTCACTACCCCCTGTAACCAACTGCCACTGACAAGCAGATATTCAGCCAGGAAAAAAGGAACCAAAACCAAACCACTAAAAAGTGACATGGTAACCTGCTTTGAATAGCAGAGATTAGATGCTAAAAGGGCCTGGTTCCATTTATTCCTCTCTTTTTCTGAGGTAACGGTCTGATAATTGCACTTGCCTAGTATCAATAAATGTGACATACTGTTTGAAACAGAGCAGGAGGCAAGTTTACAATGGATGTACAAATTGTTAATTCTTTTAGATCCATTATCTTACTCTAGCCTAGGGGACAATTATACAGCTGAAATCTGTCAATACATGAACAACAATAATGGGTGTCTTGCTCTTAGGGCATCAAACACATTTCCCTTTTGTGATATAATGCAATCCTCCCCATCTTCTGCCAGGAGATCATGATTTGTGTTATTTTTTTTCCCTTGAAGGCTAAATTTGTGGAAGTGGTAATATATGCAAATGATCCAATTTAACATTTTAATTTACGTAAATTATCTTATAATACACAGATACTGTCAGAGGAATTGGGAAGCACAGGAACTGTTCTTACATTTCATTCTCCAGGTAGCCTCTTCTGGAAGGAACATATATGCTAAGAAATAGCCTAATTCAGATAAAGTTTACATGGAGACACCTTTCAGTCACGGAATATGGCAGGGAAATGTTGCAAAAATTTCAGCCATAATATGGCAATGTAATAGAATGTGGCCAGCATGATATTCTTCATTGATCTGTAGTAATGTGACAGAGTATTTCCCAGAACTGCAAACAACAAATAACAAAACATAGCTATTTAACGGAAATAAATGTATTTTTTTAAAATGTATGTTTTGGAACATGCCTAGATACCTCCAGAGGTGACGGGACTCTCTAACTTAAAATGCCTTGGTCTGACTGGAAACAGATTCAGTGTCTTTCCAGAGGAAGTTTTTCTCCTTCAGTCATTAGAGAAATTATATCTGGGACAAGATAAAGGGATCAAATTCATGACTCTTCCAAGAGACATCAGCAAACTGCAGGTAAGAAAAAGAGGAGGGAGAGGAGCTCAATAATAACTCTGCCTGGTACCACAAAGAAGCACAGAAGAAGTAAGCTGTTTGAAGAGAATGAATCCCAATCCCACAGGCCTTCCACAAGTGCACCTTCCATGGACTTCAGTGGGATTTGGTGTACAGGGCCTGGAAACAGCAGGTGCTGAGCACATTGAAGTCCCATTTAATTCAATGGGACACAGCACCTTGCAGAACTGGGTCCATTGAGGTCTGGTAGGATTGGGTAAAACATTTGTAACAAACAGGTCTTGTTAAAGTTGATGGACCCAAGACTTAGGTATCTCTATCTATCTATATTATATATAACCTATTTCACATAGATTCTCTATTATTTCCTTCTCCTTATGTGGAATAGGTTATGTATGTTTATCTTTCTGATCCCATAAAATGTGTTGGGCCTCTACACCAGGGCTGTAGCATTGTTAAACCCATGTTTTACTGGGTGCTCAATCACCCCCAAGGCCTAGGCAATAAGCCACTTTCCAATTGCTGATGGAATTCATGTTTTCCCTTCTCTTTGCCTGCCTACAGAGCAGTCGCTATACCTTTCAAGAGGTTGCTAGCATGCAGGAGTGACAGGACCACATAGTGCATGTACATGACTATGAACCAAGGCAAAGGAAGAAAATTCTCAAGCCTTGATAGGTCATGCGGCACTTTAAAGGGACGCTCAAACTCAGAGAACACTGCTGGGTACATTTATCCAGTTATATCACACTCATTACCATAGTATCTGAGCACCTAACAATGCTATCTCCCCAGTCGTATGTTTTGCTTTTGCCGATGTTCAGTTGTGCATTGTTCAATGATCTCCCTAAGGAAACAAATCCTTTTTTAAATAGAAAATCATGCACATTTTTTTCCAGAATCTGAAAGAGCTGTACCTAGAGAACAATTGTCTGGAGTACCTGCCACCTTCCATCGGCTTGCTGAGCAACCTAGAAATAGTTGACTGTCACAACAACCTCCTTAAAGAACTCCCAGACTCCATATGTCAAGTACAAGGTGAAAAAACATCATATGCATTTGTGTCTGTAAGGGCACAAGTTTAAGCAGAGATTTCAGAGTTCAAAAGTCTTCCTCTTCTCACCCAGACACCTTTCCTGGTCCAAATGAGAGACTAGGTAGAGTAATCTGTATTATTAAAAATTCTTATTGTCTGATGATCTGTTGAAGACTTTCCCCTATTTAATAGATTTAGATGCAATATACACCATGGGAAAGTTAATGATCTGCAGATATAAGTGGCATTGTTTTTTCAAATTGGTCGATAACAAAGTAGAACAATTAACAATTCTTGCAGCTTTCTTACCAAGAAAGCATTTTGCTGCCTCACAAAACTCCACTGAGTATGAGGCACAGATGCAGTGTGTAGGTGGTGTTTATGTAACCCACACCCACTCAGTGTGGCCTTCTCTCCTCCCCTAATGATGGTTGGGCCACAAATAGAGGTCAATAAGCCTGATTTCAGCCTTGGCTAACAGACAGGTGTCTTTTAAGCTTAGAGGATCATACTTTAAGATCCCCAGCTCCCAAGTCTAGTTCTCATTGCCAGTGACCCACCTCAGGGTGTGGCATATCATTTAGAAAATGAAGCTTTCTGTTGAGTGCTTCACTCTAGTTCTTATTTTGGGGGAAAAACAATTTTGTATTCTTGCAATTACCTTGAGCCTAAGCCTAAAAACTCATAACTCAGGGCTGTGGAAGTAGAAAGGCACAACAGCAGTAACACCCTTCTTGCTGATATTTTTGTAGAAAAAAAAAATTGATCACACCATTAGAACAAACATATTGGTGTTATTGAAGTCCTGTGAAAAATCTCTCCATGTTTGGGAACTAGGCCCTTTGTACTATAGAATGAAATAATATATTGATGTACTGGGAAATATTTATATACACACAGTAAATATTTCACACCCCAGCAATACATTGTTTTATTGTAAACACACCCAGGGAAACACTCCAGATTATTATTAGTCTGTGCATTGCAGTTTTGTGATTTTATTTGTTTAGGTTTGCAAAGGTTGCTTGTTCAGAACAATCAGTTGTTCCAACTCCCAGAAAACTTGGACAATCTTCAGAAGTTGCAGCTTGTCCTGCTGGATGGGAACCCTATGACAGACCCCCCAGTTGAGGTGTGCAGCCAGGGGAACTTGGCTATCTGGGAGTATTTACGGGAAAAGAGGCATCAAAAGGCCAAGGCTACAAAGGTACAAGGCATAAGAGATCTACTACACTGCACAAACTGCATTATTAATAATCCAGTGTTTGACACAACATTCTACAGGGCATGCTATGCAAGGCCCTGAAGTATCTTAAAAATTCTGTGTCAGCTATGGTGGGGCAGTAAAGCAGCAGACACTCCATTGCACACAATGAGGTATCTATCTCATTGCCAAATGGGGAACGTGGGCTTGGCAGGGGGATGGCCACTGGGTCCATGCACAATGCAGATCCATTAAGCCAAGTCCCCGCTTGGGAAAGAAGCTATAAGCTGCAGCCTCTAGTCCCAAGACTGTAGAGCCTGGGGGCACAGAGATTCAGCCTGGAACAGCCCTAGATCAGTGATACTCAGACTGAGGCTCAGGAGCTGCAAGTGGCTCTTTAGTATGTCTCCTGCAGCTCTTTGTAGCACATATTAAAACAATGATAATTAACAACCAATCAGGATGCTTTTACTATGTTATTAACCAATTGTAGAATACTTGGTCAGTCATTTTGTTGTGAGATTCTAATTATATAATATAAATGAGAGAGAGAAAAAGAAACAATGAATTACTGTGGCTCTTTTGGGTAATGGTGATTGCTAATTTGGCTCCTGAACCACTGTGGTTTGAGTATCACTGTCCTAGATGGTTATTAGAAGCTCAGTCTACAGTACCAGTGGGCAGTAAAGTCGTTCTGCTCAAAAGATGGGGATGAGGAACAAAGGGCAGGTCCTCCCTTCCCTGATTTTCCTGTACTTCAAATTCTTCCCTTCCCACAGTTATTGTCTCTTATTTCTAACACATTGCTACCCAACATCCGAAAGGAAACAACTTCCCTTTTATGGGGCCCAATGTAGGACAATTAGCTAGGTCCAAATTGGCTGTGGGTACATGGGCTAACGTAACAGCCAAATAGGGACATCTGAAGTTGGGAAGATGACTTCTCTTCACTTGAAGTCCTTGCCTGGACCAAAGAGTTGAGAGAACAACGAGAGTGTTCCCTCCCTTAGAGAAATTTTAGTTTAATTTTAAAATAGCACATGGAAATAATCTGAAAAATATAATTTAGTTGGTTGGCAGGTCCTCTTAATTTAAATTAATTTAGTCTAATCAGGAATTTAACCCCAGTTTACTCCAGCAGACCCCAATGCATTCAGCTTTTTGCATCAATACTAGCCGACATAGTGCTCAATTCAATTGTTTGAAGTCACCCTCTTCTCCTCGAGGTAACAATATTGTTCCATCCTCTCTTTCAGATCCAGGCTTGGTGGCGTGGGCAGATGGTGCAGAAGGGGCTTGGAATTTTTGCTGAGCTTCAAAAACTGTTAAAGAAAGGAAAGAAAGATAAGAAAGGAAAAGAAAAGGGGAAAGAAAAGCCTGGCAAAGGTGCAAAGGGCAAAAAGTAGTAATTCCATATGATTTTTACATCAAACTGTTTATAGCTCTTGCACATTGGGAGGGCAGATATAGGGAGAGGCAAGAAAGTAAGGGACAGTTAATAGTAAAATGTCCAGAATACTGAACATTAGAATTAAAAAAATAACATAGGTGCTTTATGGCCAGTTTTGTGCATGTGTCAAAATGACTCCAGTTAAATGAGGTTAGACGGTAAAATAATGTATATGATTGCAAAGCACAAGGGTAATTGATTAACTGGAAGTGAATTGTATCTGTGGAGCTCTGTGCTGACTAAAATCTTTAAAATTCATGTCTTCTGTAATGAGAACGGTCTTACAGTGGTTTTGTGTTTTCATAACATCCCTACTGGGTCAGGCCAAGGTCCATCTAGGCCTGTTTCCTGTCTTCTGACAGTGACCAGTGCCAGGTAATGAACCTTCAGAGGTAATGAACAGAACAGGCAATCACAATCTATTCCCAGCTTCTGGCAAACAGAGGCTAGGGACACCCAGGGCATGTGGACACCCTGCCCATGCTGGCTAATAGCTATTGATGGACCTATCCTCCAGGAACTTATCTAGTTGGTTGGTTTTTTTTAAACCCTATTATAGTTTTGGCCTTCACAACATCCCCTGGCAAAGAGTTCCACAGGTTGACTATGTGTTGTGTGAAGTAGGACTTCCTTTTGTTTTAAACCTGCTATTAATTTTATTGGGTGACCCCTGGGGCAGCTGCACTACTATAGAGTTTTAAAAGTACATATGCCATTAGACAGCACTTTGCCTACCACTGAGGTGCAGCCACCTCTGGGGAAAAACACAGCAACTGTAGCACTGAACAGAGCAATACTACACAAGAGTTCATGAGAAGTGATGACTGCCTCGCTTGACAATACAAGAGGAATGGTAGGTGAAATATAATTATTCCTACCAGGACATCTTAATTATAATCCTATTATTATAAAAAAATCCAAAATTTCTAGATTTTTGCAAAAATGTCCCTTTTTAATTAAAAATTTTGAGTAGGTCTAGTCACAGCATTTAATAACTGCAAATTGTCAGGTCCTCAGATTTATGTCTAGTCCCAAAAACAATACACGCAGTTGCAAATTGTCTTCATATAAAAGGATTATTTGCAGCACATAGTGAATTTGAAAACTACAAAATGGTCCTGTGATTTCTGGATTTCACATATTAATGTGCCCCTGCTCATAAGAGCAATTTCTAGTGTGCTAGTATAACCCATTTACACATTACTACACATTTACACAACCGCAGTCCACAAGCAGAGGGCCATACTCTGAATCACTGCCTAGTTTTGATTTAGTACTGCTCAGGCAAGGCTTCCTTCCCTTGACTTCACTGAGAGATTTACCTGGGTAAGGCCTGAATCGAAACTGAGAGCCAGGCTGTGACTAGCCCACATGCTGCTTCACAGAGCATGAATGGGTGGAAGCACTTGGGTGGTCTGTGTAAGGCGATAATTGAAGTCCTGCTCCCTCCCAGCATGTACTAGAGGTGGGGAGAAGATAGGGCACTGGCCCTTCCCCATTGGCTCACACAAAGGAGGGGTATGGTAGGGTCACCATATTTCAGGTTCCCAGAAAGAGAACACTGCTGTGGGGGAGCTAAAGGGGGTACCTGAGGCCTCACTCCCTGTCACAGTGGCAGGGCAGCTGGCACAGGCCTAGGAGGCAGTACCTCCCTGTGGGCCTCTCCCCTGCGCCAGAGCTGGGAGCCAGGGCCTGGGTAGGGAGGATACAGCAGCTGTAGCTACAGGGAAGGGACCAATTGGGGCACAGAGACAGTGCTTTCTGAGCTGTGCCACAAAAATCCCAGACATTGCTTCTTATTTGAAAAATCTGCCCAGGCTGAGAATTAAAAAAAAGAGTCCTATCTGGGAAAACCCAGAGGTATGGTAACCCTAGATATGCAGTACTCCCTGAAGGGATGTAAGAAGCATGGGCAATCAGATAGAATGTTTCTAGGGCTGGGCCTACATTCCACAACTAAGGATTTGGTCAATAGATTGTTGACCTTCAAAACTCCCTGCAAAAGTCATCTATTTAATAGGTCTTCTGATGAAAGCAGGGGCCAGGGCACTTTGGGTGGAGTGGGATGGAGTTTTGCTGCTCTTTGAGTTGGCATGCAAATACTTCCATTGTATTGGGTTACTAGATGATATTTTAATAGATTGGGAACATAATTGCTGTTAAGGCCCCTAGAGCTCATACAAAGGGGTTTTTTGGTAAGATTTTTTTTAAAAAACCAGATGAACAAATAAGTAAGTCATGTTTTTGACCCTTAAAAACCTTGCAGACTAAATAAAATGAGACATGACACAAAACAATAATTCAAGTTAGGGAGGATACAGGACTGATTGAAGAGGGTGTTGCTGGAAGAGAGGGGGGATTTGAAGGAGAGCTAGGACTTTTGGCAGATGTGAATTGCTGTAGGAGGTTACTGTAATCAAGGGAAGAGACAACCTGCAGATGGACAAGGGTTTCCACATTGAGGACAATCATGAGAAGCTGGGGGTTTGGAGATATCAGAAAAATACTCGTCAGGTCTTGGATACTTGCTATGAGGTGTAGCAAAGGAGAGAGGTGTTTCAGTAGATCATTGTAATGTTATCTCAATGCCACATAAAGTGTGTTAAAACTCATGTTGGAATGTTTTCAGTGCCTCCATATTAGAAGATTCTCCTGGCATATTTATTGCTAGAAATGGACACACTGACAGCATAGGCTTCAAGTAGTAAGTGTTAATCCTGAGTGGAACATAAACTGATGCTCTTTGCTTCTTTTTAATGTTTGCATTATCAGTGTTCCATGCTCACCTTTACAGAATTTCTCTTCTGAAAACAATTGATTACAAACTAACTTTTTATGCCATGTCTGACCAAACGTACAATTTGATCTCAGTTTTGCCTCCTGAGGGATAGTAAAGTGCATTTTTACAATCAAGCTGTGACAAGAACAAGGAAGTTCAGAGATACCCCAATGAAATCAGAGTAAACAGTGTAGTAATTCAGTATGGGAAGAGTAAACAAAGCAGCAGCATATTCAGCTGTTACTCATATTGACTAGCCAGAAGAGGATTTTCCTCTACAGAAATTAATCCCCCCAGTATAGCAGTGCTCAATGCTGCCAAAGAATCTTCAACATACTAAACTCCTGAACAGAAGTGGTTTCCGGCAGGGGCTCCTTCCTGAGGTAAGTGACTTGGGCTGAGAATGATCCTAGTGTGTCTTTGCCACTGGGAAAAGGTTTCTGCATGGAGTTCTCAGGGCTAATTGAGCAGTACTTTTTATTTCTCTGTTTGTCCCATGATTTCAATAGGACTCCTCACTTAGGGGGCAGCTTCTGATACTACCACTTAGTAAATGTACCTTACTTTACAAATAATCCCCTTAAAGTCATTGGGGCATCTTGTGGACTAAGGTGCTACTCAACATAAGTACATGTTGCAAAATCTGGCCCTTTGTAAGGCAGCAATTAACATGAGCGAGGGTAGGCGAGTCTGGCCCTAGCAAACAAAACAGAAGGGTTACTTTACACTAGTCAGCTCCTTGGTTTAATGGGTCAGATGTGCTGAGTTTAAGACTGGGCACCAGGAAATCCTAAACTCTGTTCCTGATTATTCTGCCCTGTTTTGCTGTATGGCCTAGAGTAAAGCACTCAACTTCTTTGTGTTGATTTTCTTCATCTGTAAAGCAGAAAGATGAATCTTAATAGTACCTACTTCACAGGGACATTGTGAGAATGTGATGGGAGGCTTGTGCTGCATATCAAAACATGTAATACATGCGCTATGGGCCTGAGCCAGGACCCAGAGGCAGGAGCAGAAGCTCCCTAAAGTGGGGGGCCACTGGCATCCTTCCCCCCAAGCACCCCACCACCACCCTTCCCCAGAAGCCCCACCTCTCTCCACCCATCACTCACCCTCCAGCTAGTAAAAAACTGATGGGGGCCATAACCCCCATCCCTGCACCCCTGCTCAGAGGAGTCATTAGGAGGACTCTGACAGGGGGTGTTCTACTCACCACTGGATAGCACCTCCTGCTGGCAATTAGCTCCAGCTGGTTCAGCAACTCCTTTCTTCTCTTCCCACATGCCACTCTCCTTCCACTCCACAAACTTGCAACACAGCTGCTTTGTGATTCAGCCCTCCAGCCAGATCACACTGTGATTTCCTCTTCTAGGGGAGTCTCTTAAGGTCTCGGTTTTACCAGCAGCATCAGGCAGGCCTCCCACCTGCTGTCTTGACTGCCTGAGTTATTGTGGGAGTAAGCTAGTCTTCCCATTCAGAGCTCCTAGCAGTACCACTCTGCAGTGGATGGTAGGGGAACCTAGGCCCACCCTCTACTCTAGGTTCCACTTCAGGGTACTGTACCAAGCCATTAAGGTCTGTGTTTACACCCACCTTATTGCTCTCATCCCTGGACCCCTTCCTACCATACATCTTCTCCCGTATCCCGGGGAGAAGATCTGCAAACTCATCTCTGTTGCCAGCTTCCTGGCTTTATAGAAGCCCTGCCTCTTCCCTCACAATTGAGCTTCTTCCTAATTAGTGTCCTCCAAGCAATGACAGGTTTCAGAGTAACAGCCGTGTTAGTCTGTATTCACAAAAAGAAAAAGGAGTACTCGTGGCACCTTAGAGACTAACCAATTTATTTGAGCATAAGCTTTCGTGAGCTACATTGGATGCAGCCGATGAAATGAGACTAAATTGGTTAGTCTCTAAGGTGTCAAAAGTACTCCTTTTCTTTTTTCTCCAAGCAATGTAAACCTCCCCTATTTGGAGCTTAACTGATAGATTGGGCTCACCTGTCCTAATTCAACTCTCTCAGGGCTGGTGTGAGAAGGACAGTGCATCACAGACTCCCATTGCTTTCAGTGAGCAGTGGATCAGACCCCTTAATGGTAATGGCTAGACTCCATGGCTGTACCTACTGAGATAGGCAACACAGAGTAGTCTAGCTAGAGGGCAATAAAGGCTGTGGCAGGGGCTTAATCAGACCCTCACATAAGCAGGAAGAGCCCCAAGGGATCCTGTAATTTGTTACAGTCATACCCAGAATGCCTATGACTTGCTCTGCAGTCCAGCATCGCTGCAGCATGGAGAGTTATAAGCATACTACTGCCCTGCCCACACCGATCCCCAGCATGCCCCCTATGCTGTGGTCCTTTTATGGCCCCCATATGTCATTGGCATACCATACAAGGGCCAGAATTGTGTGCAGTCCTGAATTATGAATAAGTGTTCCAAGGTGCTCCAACCTTTCTATCAGCAGATATGTCTAAGGGTGTCAAGATTCCTTTCCCCACTCTGAACTTTAGGGGGTTTTTCATGCAGGTACCCTAAGCTTATTTTTACCAGCTTAGGTTAAAACTTCCAAGGTACAAGCTATTTTACCTTTTGTCCCTGGACTTTATTGCTGCCACCACCAAGCGTCTAACAAATATAACAGGGAAAGAGCCCACCTGGAAATGTCTTTCCCCCCATATTCCCCCCCAAGCCCTATACCCCCTTTCCTGGGGAAGGCTTGACAAAAATCCTCAATTTGCACAGGTGAACACAGACCCAAACCCTTGGATCTTAAGAACAATGAAAAAGCAATCAGGTTCTTAAAAGAAGAATTTTAATTAAAGAAAAGGTAAGAGAATCACCTCTGTAAAATCAGGATGGGAAAATACCTTACAGGGTAATCAGATTCAAAACAGAGAATCCCTCTTGGCAAAACCTTAAGTTACAAAAAAGACAACAGGAATACACATTCCATTCAGCACAACTTATTTTATCAGCCATTTAAACAAAACAGAATCTAATGCATATCTAACTAGATTGCTTATTAGCCCTTTACAGGAGTTCTGACCTGCATTCCTGCTCTGGTCCTGGCAAAAACAACTCTCAGACCGAGAGAACCCTTTGTCCCCCCCCCCAGCTTTGAAAGTATCTTGTCTCCTCATTGGTCATTTTGGTCAGGTGCCAGCGAGGTTATCTTAGCTTCTTAACCCTTTACAGGTGAAAGGGTTTTTCCTCTGGCCAGGAGGGATTTAAAGGTGTTTACCCTTCCCTTTATATTTATGACAAAAGAGCATTACCACAAATGAGGCAGAAGAGGCTCACATTTTAAATGTAGCTTATTAAAAACGGTTAGATATGTATATAAGACAGACCTTCCTTACATACCCAGACATTTGCAGTTTATCTGTGTATTTCACAGGTTAAATAACGGTGTAGTTCGCAACTATTTCAAGAGACACAATGAAAACAGATTTCTAGTAAAAAAAAAAAAGGCTATTTTCTGAGTCAGAATCCCAGAATACAGAATGCATGTGCTACTTGGAAAGGCCTTTTCAGAAACCCAGGCCCTGCATCAATACTCAAAGTGAACATTCCTTTTAGTGTCCTGATTAAAGCTTTCCATTTGCCTCTGCTGTGATTCCGGAAGGGCCCACCTTTGCATCCCTATCTCTGTGAATGCAGGCAGCTTTGACAAATCTGTTAGCAACTTGCTGAACCACATTCCACAGTCAGGACAAGATGATGGCCAAAGACTGACATCCAACTCTGAAAGTTCTTTGAGTGCAGTTAAGCCTTGAAAGAAAGTGGCCCATCCTTCATCAGAAACAGTGTCATTATAACTCAGATCTAGCTTCTGTAATTTGGCTAGATGCCCACCTTGGACCTCTAATGCTGAAAGAAATAGATATTGGAATACACATTGAATATATACTTACAAATATTGTTTAAAAAAATCATATGACTAAGAATAGTGCTCTTTTACTACCATGTTATTTATGGTCCTTTAGCAATAAACCATGGCAATGGTTACTCACTCAGAGATACGAAACATGTTGCTCAAACAAAATCAGAGATACTTGCTATTGGTCTCACAAAGCCTATTTTATCGCAAAAGGTGGTGTGTAGTTTACAACATGCAATTCAAAGGGAACTAAAGGAATTACAAAGGTGTTCGGTTAAAACTGTGTGGCAACCTCATGATGGATCAGTCAGAGGGAGTTTAGCATCAAGCATAGGACAAAACCAGCAGGAAGATTTTACAGTGAGATCTGGCGAGAGAAATGTTGAAAGAGCCATGCCTAATTCTGAAAAGCTAATGGGAGTTAAGTCTTGTTTTCCTTAAGAAAATTAGGACCTGTAATTTACCAGTGGTGCCATTTGGTCAGTGGTAGTAATAGTGAAGGCTGTAAGGTCAATAGGGCTCAAGCATTTTTTTACCATTGTGTGGTCTACAGCGACCCAAAATGTTTTAAAGCAGCTATTACTGTACTGCCAACTCCAAGCATTCAAAAGTCATGTGTCAGGCCCCCAAAAATCAAGAGACTGACTTAAAAATCAGGAGGTTTTTAAAAAAATTATGAGAAATTTTAATTTGATTTCTGGTGTTTGAGACTTCAGGATTCGCATTTTCCAGCATTTCTCAGCAACTAAGAGGGCTAAAAGTTTACTTTTTAAACAAGCCGATATTCTCCTCTAACAACATGGACTCCAGGAGTTGGGGCTTTTCACAAAAACACCTAACATCCAGAGATTTGGCACCACTACAGTTACACGTAATGCTGTTAAAATATAATTTAGCTGGAGTTATTGAGCCTGGAAATACTGGCTGTGCAATATAAAACTTCTCAGAAGTGGCTTTAAATCTAGTATCAGAGGGGTAGCCGTGTTTGCTGCTTTTACAGATCCAGACTAAGTCATGTGGCACCTTATAGTGCCACAGGACTGTTTGCCGCTTTTAAATCTAGTGTTTATATTGTACATTTTATTTTTCTAAGTGTTGCATTTGTGAAGTAATACAAATAGCTCAGCTAAAATGGATCCCTGCATACTTTTCCAGTATTGTCTACACTCTTCAGTTTTTGCCCTGTCACTGTGTAAAGTACTGAGTAAATATCCCTCATCAGCAGGATGAAAATTCCCTGGTGGAAAGATACTGCCGCATTCTGCCTCCTGTCATCTGATTAATGCATAAATCTGCTCTACCCAAGGAACAAGTCTCTGAATTGTGGTATAAATGCAGCAGCTGCTTGCCTGCTAGTAAACATCACATTATACATACCTAAAAGAGTCAGATCCTCAGCCACCAAGTTACAGCTGCTCAGTCTCAACGTTCGAATCTCCGTTGCAAGCTTTAGTGCTTCCAAAAGCAGCTTTAGGTTCCCACCAACGCATTTATTCCAAGAAAGGTCTAATATCTCCAGTTCAGGGAGGTGAAGGGCAGTCTCAGCTGAAAAGATTAACACCAGGAACTTCTGCTTACTAACAGAAATCGTGGCCTTAATAGACATTTCACCATGTATTCACCTGAAAATAGGTTTTAAGTATGTTGCCTACTTACTTGTGCTTAGAACATAGGCTTATTGGATCTCAGTAAAAGTTAGACAAAATAAAATCTCACATACTCCCTAAAGAGTTCAACATTTGATTTTTCACATATAGAATGGGTATTTAACAGACAAGTCCTTGAGCCGTCTTCCTTAAAAGGGGTTGGGAACGTGTGACCCTATGGGCATCCCAGTGTCAGATGTCCTGGAGCTCCCCAATACGCAGCAGTGATGTGTCAGCTGGCCTGACCAGTTCAGTGCATCCAGCTGTGCTAGAAATAGGTCACTAAAATGTATTTAAATCATTTTAAAAGGGGTAGTTGATAAACAGGTTTTTCCTGACAAAGAAAAGGGGCCGACCCCTCAAGCCAGGTGTGCCCAAGGACAGAGGCCTATTCATTTGTATCAGAGGTTGCAGGAAGATCATTTGCATTGTAAAAAAAAAAAAATCACAAGTGGGAGAGAAGCCAGCCCTGCATTTACACTAAACATTGTGTCTACAGCCCCAGGGGAAAGGAACTTGATCTGGGGATACACTTCAGAAGTATACATTTCAGATTTTTACTGGGCTATAAAGAGTGAGAGAACCCCTAAGTTATCCTTTATCTGAGCAGACAAAGAAACCAAGTGCTGTGAACTTTGTATTTGGATTCTGACTACGGACTAGCCAGCCATACTGGAAGAATGACTATGGTAAGAAAACTATGAACAAAAGACTAGTTTGTTAAGTTGTGTTTCAGTCTAAGTAGAGTATTTTAACTTTTGTTTGTAACCATTTCTATCCTTATTCCTTCTATACTTAAACCTATGTCCTTTTGCTAATAAATTTGTTTTGGTTTTACTATAAACCAGCTTGCACTGTGATTGAAGGGAAGGATATGTTAACCCCAGTTAAACTAACAGGCTGCTGTGTATTGTCTCGATAGGAGCAGCAAACCTGAAAAGGTTTTGTGAGTACTATGTGTGTGAAGCTGTGCACTGCAGAATAGGGTTGCCAATTTTGGTTGTACATATTCCTGGGAGGTCTCATCACATAATCCTCAATGAAAGATTAATCTTTCATTCCTGGAGACTCCCGGCCAATCCTGGAGGGATGGCAACCCTACAGCAGAGACATTTTTGCAGGAGAACTTGGGGCTGGAAGGGTTGTTGAGACCCCCTGTCAGAGTAACAGGGAAGTGAAAGCCAAGATGTGACCAGCAAGCTTGAATGTGGACTGTTGATGTCAAGTCTGTGGGCATACAGGGTCATGTGTCCCCTCACAGATTTGCTGCTTGGCTTGTATTGAGCATGTTCACATGGACTGAGCATGTTCAGGAACATTGCTGAAGCTAGCTGCCCTCACTCTGCCCCTCCCTGCCCTCACCATCAGCAGGCATAGGTCATTTCTGTCTGTGGGCCACACAGCAACATAGCATTTAAGCACCCAGAGCTGCAAGGCAGGTGTTAACTGAACCCCTTACTGGCCTGGGTGAAACCCAACCCATCACAGATGGATTGTTTTGTTTTACATTAGCAATATTGGCCTGATCCTGCCCCACTGAAGTAAATTTAATGTAAAAAGCACTTTTGACCATTTTATGACAATTTAAAGGGAGCAGTTCTTGCTGCAAACCCATTTATGCAAGGTGAGATTCGTTACATTTTCTGACAATGCTGACTTGAAGATATCAAGAAATCACCATTCAATAACATTTTATGCTTCTTTAGCACATTGCCTGCAAAGACCTCAAGCCAGTGCTAGCCTGATTCTGATTCCTCTGAAGTCAGTGGAAATTTTGCTATTGACTTCAGTAGAGCAAGCAGTAACAGGTTCTCTTTTCTGTATGCAACATTTACTATAATGTTTATAGGCTCTTGATTTGCACACATGCTGCTTACTTGGAGGCCAGAAAGTTTCTGTTGGTACCTAGAGATGGAAAAAAAAAAAAAGAAAAGGAGTACTTGTGGCACCTTAGAGACTAACCAGTTTATTTGAGCATAAGCTTTCGTGAGCTACAGCTCACTTCATCGGATGCAAAAAAACTTTACTCAAACATAAAGGTATATGCTCACGACTATGGGTCTCTTATGGGCATGTGTCAAGATCCCTTTGCACTTAGGAGTGGTAAATATTAAGACATCAGTATTAAATGGATAATTACTACAAGGTCTGCCCACTAATGATTAAAATTCCAGCACAGTATGAGATCATACACTTTAGCATTCTTTTCTAAAATTAATACATTTTAATGTAGTCCTATTAATCCTTCAGGCATGTGATCAGAAGCTATTACAATGCACTTAAGTCCTGACCTATAGTACTGCTGGTATTCCACTTTCAGACTTCCCTTTGCAGACAGGTCAAATTCTGTGATGGTTTTGTGACATGGGCAGACAGAGCCAAGGGTGAGACCAAAAGATACATTTTTACTCATGACCAAAGCCACAATTCAACCACAGATCTGCTGAATCCCATCAAAGGATAATGCAAAACCACTGCATTATCGCATCTTGCTGCATACAGAGAATATATAATAGTTTAAAAAACATTCCTACCTAGTGATGCAAAAGAATCTTCCCCTAAAGAGCAACTGCTGACGACCACAGATTTCAACTTTGGTAAAAATCTGAGCCTGCTAAAAAGGTAGTTGGAAGACACTCCAAATGTTTTTATTGGATGATAAATTCAGCTCCTGAAGACTCGAGAGTAAAGGTATCACCTGTGCTTTAAAAATACACAATATTTATTAATCGTGATCCTAAATGACTATATAGCTGTAGTTTTATTTGCTACAATTTTATTTATCACTCAACCCAAAACATACTGCCAGACTCTGACACCCTTACACATGCTGAGTAATACTTTACCCCATAAATAGTCCCATTGTATTCAATAGGGCTACTCAAGGAGTAGGTACTACTTAGCGTTGAGTAAGGGTGTCAGAGTCTAGCCTCCAACAGACAGAGTGGCTAAGATTTTCAAAGCCAACTAGGGGGTTTAAACATACAACTCCTATTAAAATTAATGGGGGAATCTATATCCAAATCTCACTGCCTTTGCTAACCTCAAGTAGTATATGTTCATATACTATATACCAGTAGTTCGTTATCAAAGTCCTATTACATGTGCATCAAATGAAAAAAAAATCACCAGGACTGAAAATTATTACTAAAATGATTAAGTTAACTCCCCTCCTTACTAGTATTACTTCATCTGTAGCTTTTCACAGTATCCTCCTCATAGGAAGACCAAGCTTGTATGCTTCAAGTCATGGGATTTTTTTTATTTTATTTTATTTTTTTTTACTCTAAAGGTTAAAATCCATGTCAAAATACAATGGTAACAGAAAACAAAGAAACTAAACCATCTCCTTGGAGGGAAGGTGAACTGTGTATTTCCTGTAATAGGAAGTGAAATTAGTGCTCTAGAACAGGGTTTGAACAAGCCCTGGAGAATAAAATCAGTTTCTTCAAAGAACAGCAGTGCAAGCTTTCCCCACACCACCCTGCCACTGTACTTTTTTCTGCCTTGATATGGAGTTACCACTATGGGCCACAGGAGAGTTCAATTTTCATGTGCATTCATCCCTGGGAGTCATGCCAACTACACCTTCTGAGGATCTGGCCCTTGGTTTCTCCAGGGTGATCAACTAACAAAAAAAACAAGATTGCCTAGTTGGTACTAGTGTCTATGATGTGGACATCTGTCCAAATGGGCTTATGTCACTTGCATTGAGAAATGCCCCTTAGTGTTGTGGCCTATCAAAAATAATATTCTAACAGTATTTTCTCTCCATTCAAGCATCTCAAAGTACTTTATGAGCATTAATGAATTAAGGCTCTCAAAATCTGAGAGGCAAGTAACTGTTACTAGCTCTGTTTTACACATGAGGCTATCTAAGGCCTGGTCTACACCAGAAAATTTAATCTGTTTAACTGTGGGGAAAAATCCATGCCCTGAGAGGTGTAGTGAAGCCGACTTAAGTCCCTGTGTAGACAGCACTAGGTCAACAGAAGAATTCTTCCAACCACCTCTTGTGGGGGGTGGATTACCTGTGCCAATGGGAGAATCCCTCCTGTCAGCATAGGTAGTGTCTGAAGTGCTACAATGGGTCAGCTGCAGGGGTACTGCTGTAGCATTTAAGTTTAGGCAAGTCCTAAGGTGCTGAATGAGGGAAATTGCAGGTTCTTAGCACCTCTCAAGATCAGCCCCCATGTGACTAGCCCAAGATAATCAGTCCTGTACCTTAACCAAAAGGCTAGCTGTTCACCACAATCACTGCAATACCAAATCTGTGTGGATAAACTAGTCCTGACTATTAAAATCTGATGGAGGTGGAGTCCATTTTCTGCCTATGAGAAATTTTCAAAGTTAAAAACATTTATATTCTTAATGAATTTTCTAACAATGTTCTTACTGAGAACCACCATGTCCTCTTCTGTTACACAGCACTGGTGGAGATCCAGGACTTCTAGGTCTTTAAAACTGGCCAAATGAGTTGCTGAATCCTTAAACCCTCCACCAATCTCTTTATTGCACAATAGGTCTAATTTGTTTAGTTCTGGTAAGTACTGGAAAGCCCTGTCTAAAATGAAAAAGGCAGAATTCATGGTCACTGACTATTCTAACACACAAGGCAGACTGGACTTAATGTTTGTTTACTCTAGTATTAATATTTGTGAAAGGTGTCAGAATGACAGCTCTGGAGAATGAGGTTTTCTGTGTAGTTACATCAGAAGTCAGTCAACATTGCAAAGCTCTTCCCACCAATGTCACTCAACCTTACTCTAAAAGAACCACCCAAAAGTGAGAGAGCAGCTCCCCCTTCATACCCATTAATGTTACAGTCTATTTACTGAGAAAACCATCAAGGGTGCCAAATAGCACCACTTGTGATATGGAGTTGTGTGGTGAATAATTAGTCTGCTAGGAACTAGACAAAGATAATTTGGACAGACTTCAGGTGATGACTTTTAGGGTATGTCGATACTGTAATGTAAGCTCATGCTTGAGCCTGGGCATCTGGGTTAGTATAATGTAGGATTCGGACCCAGGGACCCAGAACCCTGCAGGGCTGGAGGGTCCAAGCTCAAGTCAAGCTGGGGCCCAGGATCCAAGCCCTATTGCTTTACAGTGTAGTCACAGCCCTGCTTGACTCAGGTTCCAGGAGTCATCCAGAAGTATCCCACAATTCCATGGGACAACTAACTTAGTCCTCTCTAACTCAACAATTGGCAAACCACTATTGAAAATGGAAGCCCCTCAAACCTGCCCTCCCTGGCAAATGGCAGCAGCTCAGGTCAGCATTAACCCATTCTGTTCTGATCACCAATCTGCAAGCATACTATCAGAGAACCTCCTTCGTTTGCAAAGGAAAAGGGAACCGGTCAAGCTTTTTGCAAAGCAAGCTGGTTCCTGGTAATGTGCAGGCCAGGTAGTAAAGTTTCCCCACAGTGCACCACATTCCTAGGGCCAGAGCAGCCACATTTCAGGAGGTGGGGAGGGCGAAGCACTAGCGACTCTGGGATATGATTTTTTTGGCTTGGGTCTGGCATCCACACTGCAGCGTGCAGAGCCCTAAGTTTGAGCATGGGTCACAAAAGTCTTAACCCAGGGTTAAAATACAGTATAGATGCTTAAGGCCAGGGTTCCCTAACATGGGTCAGCTGACTCAAGTCCCACTAACCCTGGGCTCACATTGCAATGTAGACATATCCTGTGTTACTAGCCCCTTAAGATGACTTTGAACCAAGAAATTGGTGCTGAAAGTTGTTTATTAAAGGAAACAGACTGTCCCCAAACAGAAGAGAATAATTATCTATCAATATTTGATATTCTTATGATTTCTATCACACAAAATACCTATTTCATTGCCTTTAGCCTAGACATTTTCTTAGATGGGTTTTAGATTTGGTATTCCAAATCTAAAGCACTCTAAATCTAGACTAGCCTAAATGCTGGAAGCCATCTTGCTTTAATCCACACATGTGCAAATTTAATTCTTTCAAAACTGGCACATTTTTCAATTCCTGAGCAATACTCTTCAGACTGCAGCCAATGTTTCTGTTAAAAGAAATATCTAATACTTCAAGGTCATGGAGGACATTTAGAACCTCCGCTGAAAAAAAAAAAGGAAAACAGAATTGGTTAGTTACCAGATTTACTGGAAGGATATTGCAGAAAACCCCACTATAAAGCAGGATTGAGCCAACTTGTTTTGTCTGCATTCAGACACACTAACATGGGTTCAAATGTTTGATTTAGATTCATTGGGTTCATGTTCTGCTTAAGAAACAGTGAAAAAAGGAGTAAGGCGGGACTAGAGAAATAAAAATCAGTGAAACAGTAGGGTGAGAAAGTGGAAAAAAATACAAAGAACTATATAAGGAACAGTGAAGGGAAGAGAACATTCTAATGCAAAAGGATAAACTATATATATTGAATACAGACCACCCACTGGAGCTATTCTAGCTTTGGGGAGTGGGAAGAAGGTTTAATCCTTTATCTTTAGCTCATAGCACAAAAGTTTCCCTTTAGACAGAAAAAGGTTTTCAAAATACAGAATCACTTCAAAAGAACACAGTATTCAGTTATGGGGTGGGTGTAGAGGGAAAAGAGAAGTATCATAACTCAGCTAGTTTTGCAAACTAGTTTATTAACATAGCTGAAGTTGCATAACTTAGATCAGTCCCACCCCAGTGTAGACCAGGCCTTAGTCTCTGTTTGAAGAGTCTCCAGATCTCTGAAAATCAGGCCATTTTTATGCACGTGCTTAAATACACATTTAATTGTCTAACTTTAGACTCTCAGCTTTGAAAATTTTGGCCTAAGTGACTTGCCCAAGGTCAGACAGGAAATCACAGGCAGTCCTGAGATTCAAACCCAGAAATCCTTCCTCCCAACCCCATGCTATAACCACAAAATCATCTGACCTCATACGGTTAACAGAAAGGGCTTCTTTGGAAACCAATACAGATACTGTTATAGTGGACAGCCAGAAATTTAATAACTTTCAATCAATACTAAGCTTAATATTGATTCTTGTAAAATGCCAAAACTGAAACCAAAATAGTTGCAGGTCTGAGGAGCCAGTATTTCAACATAGGTATGTGAAATACACTTACCTAGAGAGTCTCCATCTTTTGTTGTTAGACTGCAATCTGTAAATTTTAGGATTTTGATCTTGCAGCCTGTCTGGAATCTTTTGGTCAAGAGGGATAGTTTTCCACCTATGTTATTATTCCAGGATAAATCCAGTTCTTCAAGATGAGGAATGGTTTCAAGTGCCTCTCCTGTTAGAAAGAGCCCAGAAGTCTAAGACGAACCATTCTAGATACTATTTTGAGTACAAGATAAAAATACAGTTTGACACAATATGAAAGGATGTCATTTAATTCTCATTTTAATTATGCAGTTGTGTTTTCGTCTTTGAAAAAGAAAGTGCAAGTCAGGAGGTGATTTGCTGTTGCATAAATACACATCTTGTAACACACACCCACCTTCTACTCTCCACCCCTGACACTTAGGCCTTGTTTACACTGCCACTTTACAGCGCTGAAACTTTCTCGCTCGGGGGTGTGAAAAAACATCCCCCTGAGCGATGCAAGTTTCAGCGCTGTAAAGTGGTGGTGTAGACAGTGCACCAGCACTGGGAGCCGGGCTCCCAGTGCTGGTATCTACTCCCCTCGTGGGGGTGGGTTTTTTTACAGCACTGGGAGAGCTCTCTTCCAGCGCTGGTGCCACGGCTTCACAGCCATGTTAAAGTGCTGTTGCAGCAGGGCTTTAACATTGGTAGTGAAGACATACCCTTAGCCTGGCCTCAGAAAAAATACCACATTGCTTGAGTTTCCCTGTAGACCTGTGTCAATGACCCAGATTCTGTAATCTACAGGGAAACCAGTGTAAATGGGAGATCTGTATGGCTTATCCTTTACAGCTCTGCTTTTGTAGACATCTGGGAAAATTTCCAACTCCCTCTGAACTGCATCTGGGGACCACAGTATTGCCAACCCCAAATGTTAAAAAAAAAAAAATCACACGTCCAGCTCACCAAAAATCACGAGATAGACTTTACAATCATGAGATTATGTAAAAATAGATTTGGTGTTTATTTGCCTTCTTCTTGAGCCTTTAGAGTGCTCTGGAGTCACATTTTGAAGCTTTCTCCACAGCCACAAGGGCTAGAAACTTATTTTTTCCTTTAAGAATGAAGGCTGAAATCATTACATATCCCCTTGACTCCAGGAGCTGGAGCTTTAAGAAAAATAATCATGAGACATGACAAAATCATGAGATTTGGCAACACTGAGGCCATCTTGGATAAGTGCAGAGCTAAGAAGAAAGAAGTCCTCGTATAGCTGTTTTTGAACCTTTAAAAGCATCATTTCTGGCAAAAAGATGCCACTTAAACATTGTTTAGGCCAGGTCTACACTGTGGGAGGGAGGGGGCAGGGGAACCTAAGTTACGCAACTTCAGCTATGTGAATAATGTAGCTGAAGTCGACATACTTAGATCTACTCACCATGATGTCTTCATTGCGGTGAGTTGACAGCTGACGCTCTCCCGTCGACTCCGCCTGTGCCTCTTGCTCCGGTGGAGTACCGGAGTTGACAGGAGAGCGCTCAGCGGTTGATTTATCGCGTCTAGACTAGATGTGATAAATCAACCCCCGCTGGATCAATCGCTGCTTGCTGATCCGGCAGATAGTATAGACAAGCCCTTAGACTCAAACTGGCTGTCTCCAGTTAAACCTGGATTTGAATCAAAGTATGCAGGCACCAGCCATCTTGCGTGCACTCAGAGGTAGCGCGTCATCTCATCTCTTTACTGCCATTGGCATGGCAATGAAAAGTGTTAGCATTTCAAAGAAATGCTAATATTTAATTGCAAATCTCATGCTTCAAAAGGGACACCTAGTGTGCATTCTGACTGAAGTAATAGTTATGAACCATAGTACACAATGGTTAAAAGGCTAGCTCCTTTTTGGGGAAAAAACAAAAAATGTTGTTAGTTTAAACTAGTTCACAACTGAAATCAGTTGGTCAGCCTACATGTAAATGCAATTTTGGGATGTTAAAAACAAAGGAAGATTTGTTTTTTTTAATTACCAACATGATAATTTACAGTTATAGTTTAATGGGGAAATCCTCATATGACTGTTTTAATAATAAATTATAACTATATGGTTTACTTGTGGCACCTTAAAGACTAACCAATTTATTTGAGCAGAAGCTTTCGTGAGCTACAGCTCACTTCATCGGATGCATACTGTGGAAACTGCAGATTATATACACAGAGACCATGAAACAATACCTCCTCCCTAAGGAGAGTGATCACTTTAGATAAGCTATTACCAGAAGGAGAGTGGGGTGGGAGGAGGTATTGTTTCATGGTCTCTGTGTATATAATGTCTTCTGCAGTTTCCACAGTATGCATCCGATGAAGTGAGCTGTAGCTCACGAAAGCTTCTGCTCAAATAAATTGGTTAGTTTCTAAGGTGCCACAAGTACTCCTTTTCTTTTTGCGAATACAGACTAACACGGCTGTTACTCTGAAAACTATATGGTTTGTAATACAAAAATAACGATGCCTGTTGTTCTGTACTAAATGAGTATAGAAGTCAGAGAGAGAGACCCCTTAAAATGCCTCCTAATTTTTGAGGCACACAAGATGGTGAGATATCTTATTGGACCAACTTCTGTCAGAGAGAGAGACAAGCTTTCGAGCTTACACAGAGCTTTTCAGGCCTAATTTTTTTTTTTTTTTTTATCTACTTAGAATAATTTCCCAGATCTTGAAAATGGACCAGAGTTTTTGCATTGAGAAGCTGTTTGTCCTAAGCAGTGCAACGTGTTAATGTTTGGTGGAGCAATTTACATTCCAGACACCTTTTCCACCCTAAAGATAAATAAAGGACAATGACTATGAATAACAGTTTTCTTCCACTTCTCACACAAGTTAGTCAGAGCTTCTACAAGAAACAGAGTATGGTTCAATAATTGTGTTTTCAGGCCTATGTTTTCTTACTGTGAACACATCCAATGCAACCCCCTGCTTTTTGAAAAGCAGACATATATTCAAACAGGCACCTGTTTAGTTTAACCATTTTATCACCAAATGTGCATACTGTTCTCAAAATGCATCATGGACGGATAAATAAATAAGCTCTAAAGTACATGCCAAAGGCCTACGGTTTGATTCTTAAACCTTTTTTACATCAGGGTAACTCCACTAGCTTCAAGGAAAGTATACCTAATTTACATTGGTGTAAGCAAGATGAAAATCAGGCCTCCAGACTTCAACTTTGGTATTCCATAGCCCTAAAAATAAAACTGAAGTCCTGATCTGGACTAAAGTCTTGAAACAGCAATTACCGTTATAGTTGCATTTACAGCTATAAAAATTAATGCTGGACACGTTCATTTTGCTTAATTTCAAATCCAGCCGTGATTTGAAAGTTCAACTCAGCTATCATCAGGTTTGCATCCCCTTAAGCAAAGGCTGCGGTGGAAAAAGGGGCAGAGACAGGATAGAGGGGGAAAAATATCCACTGGCAGATAAAATATAAAACACAAGAAAAAAAAGTATAAAAAAGGAGTGAAAAAAATAATAAATTAAAAGCAGACTCTAGCTCATGACAGTTTGTGAACTTCAAAATAATCCATAAACTTTGCAGAGCCTCAAACGCCACTGGGTTTGCCCTTCGTTTGTATGTACACAACGAACTCACAGTAGTAAATTCTACTTTCAGTTGTAAGTGTTTGCAAGATCAGGGCTTCTTATACAAATGCCATCTCTAAAATGGAACTTCACCCTTTGTTGGGTGGCCGGTTGCAGCCAATTACAGCAAAACAGTGAGAGGAAGGCAAATTTTAGCCAAATTTCTTACAAAAGATGCCATCTGTTTTTAAGGTCTCTTCCAAAAGATCTCAGTACACTATCATCTGCACAGAACTCTCTGTATCTGTTGCTGAAGGAAAAAGGCCTAAACTGATCATGCTGTGATTTGATCTTCCAATTCTGATCAGTCTACTAGGAGGCTTTTCAAGCCTGTTGCTTAAAATGTTAAACCACTTTGGGTAATTTTGTTGCTCTTGCACAAATAAGAGCTGATTCTTCAGCCATTCTGCATGTGAGAGACTTTTTGCCCATGAATAGTCCCTTTGAACTCAATAGGACTAATTTTATGTATAAAGTTACTCACGAGTATAAGTGAGTTACACTTCTTTATAGCCGAGAGTTTAAATTGTCAGTGTGGAGACACGGATTGAGATTTTGGCTGCTGTGGTGTGATAGAAGTATAGATTTAATAGGTCACAATAGACCCTTGGTAACAAGCTGTTTGGAGAGTAAATGTAACTGCCATACTGTACCTAAAGAAGTAACATCCTCAGCTGTCAACCTGCAGTTGTTTAGTTGGAGGATTTTTAACTTGCTCATATGATGGAGCCGAAGAGCAAGGGGTTTCAGAGCCCCTCCTACAAAATCATTCCAGGAAAGATTGAGCTCCTCCAGCTCTGGTAGAAAAGGTAACACAGGAACTAGAGGTAAAAACAAAACAGCAGCAAAAATAACCCACTTAATTTGTGAATGTTATGTGTCAATATGCCTTAATATAGAGGTGCTTTTCTAAACTAATATGGTAACAGGATAGAGTGATTTGTCTTCAGAAGGGAAACTGAGGCACAATTTCCCTATCTGTAGAATGGGTATAAGGCTATCTACCTGATTCACAGCATTGCTGCATGACTTAAAGTGTTATTTAATGTTTGCAAAATGCTTTGGGATCACCAAATGAAAATACTGAATAAGTATCATTATCAGAAAGAGAGGAGAAAGGAGTGGGGTTGGACTATTTCATTGGCAAATGAGAATAGAAAACTCTGTCCCAGAAGCTTTCAGTAGGTAGGAAAACTTGCTTACCCAGCTCCATTAAATCTGTTGCATCTAATGCACAATTATTTAGGTCCATATTCTTGCTGTTGGGCTTCTTACCCAGTTTTTGCATGAACTGCTTAATGCGCCACATACCAGATGTTGTGTTTGTTTTGGAAATGAGATATGGAGGTTCATCTGCATAACCAAAAACCAGGATTGTTGTTACCCCTAACAGTAATCTTATTGATGAGTGTCACAGGGCAAGACTCACCCCCGTGAGACACCAGCAGGAGGTGCCACAGAATTAGCACTTCTAGCCTCCAGAGCACCCTCTGCAAGCCGGTGTCCCACTTGCCGCTGGCCCCCGTGTCCCTCCTGGACCCCAGTGCCCCTTTCCCTAGGGTGCTGCCCCCTGGCAGTAACCCCACAGTCTGAGTCTCCCCTCCCCAGGGAATGCCCACCCACTATCCCCACCTCACCTCAGTCTTTGTCTACTGCTAGTCACTGTTGAGCCCCCGCACAATGGGGCAGACTGCAGTACAAAAGCCAATCATCACAGGCAAGGGGGGTTTGGACCTGCTGCATCTGCCTACCCGTGGCTGCTCCCTGCAACTCCAGTACCCTTTTTTAGATCATCTTCAAGGCCTGCAGCCTGAGGCTTTTCCCATCTCAAGCCTCCCAGCTCCTCTGGCCTTCCCCAGCCCTGCTTCACCTCAGGTACCTGAGGTGGGCTCCCCAACAGCCAGACCCATCTCTCTCTGCAGCTAGAGGATACTTTGTGTGCTCCTGGCCCACTGCCCTCTTATAAGGGCCAGCTGAGCCCTGATTGGGGTGTGGCCATAGCTGAGCCTACTTCCCCAATCAGCCTGGGAACTGCTTGCTCCCAGCCACAGCCCTCTCCTAGGCTGTTTTAAGCCCTTTAAGACGGGAGTGGGTGACCACCCCACTACAGTGAGATTTTGTCTTGTGTAACTACAACTGTCCGCTTAAGACATAATGAAACATACTGACCCTGGCAGAATTTGTGGAATGGCTGCATTCCCATTTTAGAAATTACTGGTGGAACCTCTGGACCATGTCAATTGTCCATAGTTACCCTAAGTAATGGGAACAGGTGCGCCATGCTCTGGTTGATGGTACCTGATGCTGAATGAGAGAAGAATCTGCCATTGGAAGTCTTTGGGCTGGTCTACATTAGAGACTTTTGACATTAACAGCACCAGTTCAAGCACACAAAATGCTTGTAAATCACTAAGCGGATGTATTCTGTGTATCATTATCCCTGCACTCGTCCTGCACAAGTATTCTATCCACCTCGGTTCAACCTGTTATTGTGCTGGTACAGATTGGAAGCACAGGCAACAGAGTATCACCAGTTCAATTAGTCCTTGCAGTGCAATCCCACAAGGCTTCTGCCCCGTCCTTCAGTGACAGCTCTGACCACGGTCTCTACCATCTGTTAACCTCGTTTTATGGATGCCCAATAGGTACTGAGGTGGCTCTTGGCGGGTCTTGGGTCTGCTCAGCAACCCCTCTTTCATCTTATTTATTCATTTCAATTCATACATAAAGTAACAGTGCACCTATCATGGCCTTCAGGAACGCTTAGCAAATATGTAAAAATACTCCTCCAGCAAATATCCTTGGCCAAAAATGAGCAGCCAAAAGCTGCACAAAAAACAGTAACCCCCTCTTTCTACATTTTGCCTCTCCACCCCATCTCCATCCCCTTTGCAAACCTCACCTTCCACCAGCCTTTCAATGATAGCTTTAGCTTTTCTTCCATGGTGCAGAGGTTAACAGCAACCTTGTATACACACAAAAATTAGAAGATTGATTTCCAGCCTCACGATATCAAGTGTTGAGAAATATCCTGCTTTGAGCAGGGGGTTGGACTAGATGACCTCCTGAGTCCCTTCCAACCCTGATATTCTGTGATCTGCTTTTGTTGTTGTCTTAAAATTTCTAGCAGCAGGGTGTGCAGAAGCTGACCTTTAACGCAAGCAAACCAAGCTACCACTTGAGGTGCTGATGTCCCACAGAAACTCTACAACCGATGAGCTGATTCTGATATTGACTTCTGGCACTAGGAATCAAGAGGGAGGTAACTCAAAAACTTTATCCTTCCAGCCTCAGCAACATGGGTCCCAGTTGTTGCATTGTGTCTCTCAAATTATAAGGCACAGCAAGATAATGGCTTAATCAGGAGAAAACAACACATACAAAATAAGCTATCAACAACAAATAAGAGGATTCTGGCTAGCAGTAAAACCAAGCACTCATTCTTTAATACTATTTCTAATGCACCCATCACTGTGGTATCAGCATTACCTGCTACACAGGGAGCTTGCTTCTCATTCTGATTATCTGGTCTAGAGTTATCAATTTCTGCTCTTTCACTTTCTCCTTTGCTTTCACCATCAGATTTCCCAGTGTGTAAGCCCCTGAAGAATCTAGTGCCTGATGAGCACTGAGGTTTTCCCTTTTCCACAGAGGATTTCTTCCTTTTGATCTGGTTCATAATCAACTGAAATGGGGATCGCTTCAAGATGCCCTCTTCACATCTATCCTGGGAACTCCAGTTTGCTCCTTTCAGAAGACTGGCAAACATAGTTAGAACTGTTTTTAGCAACATTTATTAATTGGTTATCCGCCCACCCCCTATAGTGGATATTATCAGGAATTCCTTAGCTACTTTCCCATCATTCTCTCCATGTCAGTATCAATGGTATACAATTCAGTGGACCAGATTCTGAACTCATTGCAATTTCTGTTGCCTACAAAGGGAGCTGATGGTGTTGAGCACCACAGTGGAGGTGCTCAGTATTTTGCACAGGTGGACCTAATAGTCCTAAGTCTCTGCTATACTGGTGTCATTTTATGTTGGTTCATTGGGCATAGTAGTCCTAAAAGCCACCTTATCTCGTCAACGGACGGGGATACCTAGGTGGGTGGCTCTTTTGTCACCTCCTTCCTAACATTCCACATGAAAATTATTTACAGACATCTCAGTGTCAAGTGTTGGGGATGACATTCTGGAAAGGTTCCCACTGGCTTCAGTGGAATTAGGATTTTATCCTCTGTATTTACACTAGCCAGAAAAGCCTTGTCATTTTCTTTTACCAACTAATTTCGGGTACAGTGCAAGCATTACTTCTCTCAAAAGAAAAACAAAATTGAAAAGTAACACAAGGAACACGGGGTCCTTCATATATAGTTCTTATGCTATTTTACCAGCAATTAGGCTGAAGGAAAAAATGGTAAAACAAAGTCTGTTGGCAAACATTCCTTTTATATACAGCTAATTTTTATGCCACTTTGTTTTTAAATGTTTTATTTGGTTTTCATGATGTTTTGTTGGAAAGTCTGTGAAGTGACAGGTGCTTAAGAGGTGGGAAAGGAGAACTTTTAAATACAATTATGTATTAGATGATTAGTCACAACTATGTTTCTCATGACCAATGTACAAAACAAATGATATAATATAAAGCAGAATTATATATACATGATGTAAAGCAATTTTGTTTACATTTGTAACTTTTCATGTACTGGCACTGCAATATTTGTAATAGACAAAGTTACGTATCTGTCTTTTCCATTTCTGAAATAAAGGATCAGTTGCACCTTTTAAAGCATTTTCATGGCTTGGAAAATGAATGTACCATGCTCTAGAAGTGAAGTTCTCTCTTCCTTAAAAGCCAGATTTGTCTGGCTGTTTTCATTTGTGGTTGTTGCTGTCTGGCAGAGAGTTTCTGTCTTCACAAATTTGAAATCAGCTGTTCAGTGCAAACCAGTTGATCAACTGCAATTTGTTGGGCTGTTTGTTCTGCTGATTTTGAGCTGTCAGGTCTCGCAAAATATGTAGCAAACACTCTTTTTATAACCAGGTCCAGGAATAATTCATTTCACTAGTCTTGTCAGTTTTCTTTTTAGAATAAATTAATAGTAAAAAAATGAGGAAGTCATTGCATGTACTTCGGTACTGAGCTTACTACCTCTCACAGGTTGTTGGAAGCAGCTGATTTTAGAAGGGCTGAATCAGTTTATAGATCAAATTACATGACTGTCTGAAGAAAAAGCTCTTTGTTTCCTTCACCTCTTCACTCACCCTCAGTACACTCCAAAAGAACTGCAAGAGTGTAAGCAAAGCAGAGCATTTAAATAGTTTGCATACTTTGGTTGGAAATGTTTTCGTAAGAGGGATAATAGAGGCGAGCTCATTTTCATTCACCTTAGGTACTCGATTGTCTGGATTGTAAACTGATGCAATTCTATGGGCCAAACTTGAAATCCTTGCTAAGTCATAGCTTCAATTGAAGTCAGTTTTGACTGAGTAAAGTTTGCAGGAGCTGTCCCTGTGTGTTTAACTGTACAGCAATATCAGTTCAGTTCCTAGTTGACAAGAGTCCACCAACCAAGACATACTACCATGACTACTACTAGCAGGGCCAGCCCTAGATCAAATAGTGCCCCAGCCGAGGAGTGTCTTTGGAACCCCCTCCCCTCCATTTGTTAAACTTTTGAATACCTTACAGCACCCCTAGCCAGGCACCCCAGGCGGTCACCTGGCTTGCTTGCCCCTAAATCCAGCCCTGACTACTGGTAAGCAATTGTGTCTACAGTCACAGAAGAAAGGCTAAGAACTGTACGGCTCACGGAAACTGAACAACCCGCATCTGCAGAGGCAATTCTTCCGGGTCAAGGAGGAGGCATATGGATAGGGCTATATATGGAAACTTGCTCTGCCATTTCCTGTGTTGTATCTGTTTTGTGGGTAAACAGAGTACCTTCATCTCCAGGACTCTGAGAATGGCCTGAGTGAGCATTAAATCCATTCAAATAATACATTAATAAAAATTAAGGAATATGAGTTACTAAATCCATCCTCAGAGGAGTCTATGTTTCCAACACACAGAAAGCTACTGTGATCACAAACAGAGGCCCACTGATAATAAATCATGAACCCAGCAAAACCTACCCAATCCACCAAAGGTACTAGCAAACCAGAGGGCATTTGGCAAAGAACAACAAAATTGATCAGCGGGGCTGGAGGGACTGATTTAAAAGCAGTTACATAGTTTGGCTAAAAGACAGGTGGTGTGGGTAAACATGATGCCAGTCTGTAAATAGCTGCATGGTTTAAACACCAAGGAGAGGGAGGAATTATCTAGGGCGATGCACAGGGGTATAGCTAGGAGTAAACAGGATGAGATTAAGACAGGAAAAACCTGGAGTGAGTATCAGGAAAATCTTCTTGACAGTATTAGGCTGTGAAAGAGTCTCCCAGTTGTACTTGGGGTGGGGTGTTTACACTAGACTGGAAAAAAGAATAGAAAATATACTGCAGTGAACTCACTACACTTCTCTGGCAGAGGGTTGGAGGAGTTGGCCTAATAGGTCTTTTTCATTTCCAGCTAGTATAATTCTCCAAGTATGTCTCTACTGGCCTTTACCATTCTTTAGTATTATCCTACACCAGGAATGATAATGCTATCATGACTCCCGATGCTAGTTTCTTTGCATGGGAGATGCTCATTCCGTCTGGTCCCTTCCTGTGAGCTATGCTTTTATCATCTCACTATGTTACATCTCATGTCACAAAAAGAAAAGGAGTACTTGTGGCACCTTAGAGACTAACCAATTTGTTTGAGCATGAGCTTTCGTGAGCTACAGATTTTCTTTTTGTGAATACAGACTAACACGGCTGTTACTCTGAAACATCTCATGTCACGTCTCTGATCACCTTATCTCACATTTGCTGCCACTGTCAGACCATCTCCAGTCCATCTGACCCACTGCCATGCCTTGCTCTTTTCCTTCCTGCTTGGGAATTGAGTGGTGGGGGTTGAAATGTGGACAAGCTGTTCCCTTCTTTCCTGCAATAATGGCTCAGGTGCTGATGGAACAGAACGCTGCACTCTCACTGCAACGCCACAGAGCCTGTTAAATTGCAGTTTGTGACAATCTGTGCTCATGGTGCTTGGGGATTTCTTAAAGACTCATTCAAGTTCTTTAGTTTAAAGCTAACATTAATGCTTTGACACTAACACTTTATGGGTTGTACTGTCCATTCAAAAATGCTGTCACTGCTACAGGTTTTTAAAGGATTGTGCAGGAAATCTAGTGCCACAGCAACAGCACCTAGAAATGCAGTTTGTCAGTGACCTAATTTCCTCCTCCCTTAGGGTATATCTGTGGCCTTACTTGCAGGAGCTATGAAGGGAAAGGGGGAAGCAGAGTGATTCCAGTGCAGAGCAGGATGATTCTGGACAGACAGCTGCAGTGTGGTGGAGTAAACACTGATATTGCTTTGGAATGGCACAGTTTGTGCCCTGGATTAGCATGTGCGGCAGATTGCAGTGTATGGGCCTGGTCATGTCCTCCTTACCCAGCAGTGCAATGGTCGACTTTCCCTCCAGTGTGCACTCTTGGGTACTTGCTCTACTGCTGCATGATGAACAGACTCTGTGTCTTCTTCCCGCACTAGGGCACCCCCACTGGACAGGGCAGGATTGACTAATGAAAGATCAGCTGTATCTCCCAGTTGATATGCAGGGAGGTGGTTTGTGAGCGCACCACTGTTTGAGTGCCCCACGTAAATACGCTTACGTGTTCTTTCCACTGTGTAATAATTGGGGTGAGGGTAGGAACAGAACCTGCTCTAGAACAAACGAGTTAAAAATGCATCCTGTTGAGCATCCACTATAGAGAGATTAATTTGAATTTTTGTACTTTGCCACATCATGACTCCTTAATCCAGCATATATTCCAAGGGAATAATGCCATTAGAAGATTAGTGCCACAAATTGATTTGGAAAAAGGATTTGCAAACATTGAAATCCTATATTCCATGTACTTAATTACTGAGTATCATTTTGGGAATTTTCTCTTCAGTTTAGTAGTGCCTCTTCTAACATAAATCTACCCTCCCAATTATTTATTTCATGCACCTATTTAAAAAAAACACATCTAGTTAAAATAACACAGAACATAAGTATAGTGGGCCAAAGTCACCCCTACTCTTATTCCAGTCCCTTCAATGGAGTTCCATAGAAATGAATTTGGCCCAAAGTCTTTACAAAATTTAAGGGACTTATATATTTAATAACCAAGAATTTAAAATAAAGTTATTTTGAATTCAGACTATAGCATTTAATGGCCATGTGGTCCTTGCTTTTTTTCTAATGTAGGCAACTTCTTAAGACAGAGATCCTGTCTTGTGGCTTGCTCCTATGTCCATTGAAGTCAATATAGCAAAGCTCCCATTAACTTCAGTGGTGCCGGATCAGAAATCATCACCTTGTTTTACCAAACAACATCCCAAAACTGGTCCCACACCTTATTTACAGAAATTTCAGGTCCTGGTTATATAAAAATGTTATGCTACAACACTGTTAAGGAGACTGGATGAAAATAAACTTGTTTTAATGTGATTATTATGGCTGCCCATTCTTCTCTCCCCTTAATTTGTATATCTGCTATTTTATTTCCTTTTCCTGGAACAATCTCATTGTCTGCAGCCTTCACTGCTATAAC